CCCTGTGTAATGTAGTTTTTATAGGCAATAATTTAAGCTTTGTTAGTTCCAGGTTTAATATGTGCAAGAAGTTCATTTCAATACGTTTTGCAATAAACTTTGAACCAGTCCGGCCCTCGACTAGTACTCATTTTTTTATTTTGGCCCACTGTGTAACTGTGTAATAACTTTTGAATGTAGCATGTAACGACTGTAAAGTTGGTAGTAAAGTCGTCCCATTTCTTCCATTTCGTTTCGACAGAGCAAAACCAGTCGCGCTTCAATACGATCGGCCATTGTTGTTGTGGATGTGAGGGGTTTCCGCGCGATTTGGCTTTATGAAGCAGGCACGCAAACGGTTACGTCATGACGCAAACGATGACGCAATGACGCAGCACCAGTCGGGCTCTGAGCGGTGTGAACAGAGCGGGAGCTGAACCGAAGAACCGGTTCTGAACCAGAAAAGCTCTAGCACGGAGCTAGAACGGGAAAAGCCTTGGTGTGAAAGGGGTAAGAGAGTCACGAGGAGAGCTGGAGCTTTGACGGCAAACACTGATGGTTTATTTTGAGTTTCGGCCGGAGAATTGACAAAACATGTGGTGTGTCACGAGTTGACACAGCGGTTTCCAAACCAATTCTGAAGAACTCTTTCTGTAGCTCGAGGTTTTAACTAGTTCAGAGTGTAATAATCAACATTCTTTTATTAACAATTATGGACCCTGAATCTAACTAAAGCTCTCGTCCATAGAAAAGAATGTGCGCCAGGGAACCTACGTCCCTGAACAGTAAACTACCTCATGGCGGCTTGTGCTCTGTCATAGACTGGCAACAACAATGCGCCCAAGCTGCTCCTCCTTACGAGAGATAGCAGCAATACCCACGGCCGTAGACCTATGCCATTGGAAAGGAGACAGTGAGAGGAGAACATGATGAACTGTGTCGAAGGTTGAATACCTAAGCAAATTATTCCCTAACAGAGAACATTTCCAGCTTGGGGATATTGATTTAGAGAATCTTAAAAACTTTAATTTGGCTTAAGATACTCTGTTTTCAGCACTTATAAAGAAGCACTTCTGGCTGATAAGGGAACAAGATGCCGCCCATGTATTCCACCAGAATAAGCAGTTTGCACGATGATCGATGATACCTTTCTCTCGCCAAGAATTCTTGGAGAGAATCCTGCTGTAAATGAGTATGCTCAGATTTTACGCTGACAAGCCACATTGACTGTTGTCAACGTTTAAAAAATAAGATTGCATTATTCCTCTGCATGTCACAACAGCACCTCGTTCTGCAGTCATTTTAGTTCCAGGAAAAGACAGTCAAATCAGAAAGATTTAGGAGGGTTCTATGTGAAATATATTGCTTTATTCTAGAACTACTTCGTTCCTACTCTCACATATGGTCATGAAAGATGACGGAAAGAACGAGATCAAGGATACAAGGGGCAATAATGGGTTTCCTTTTCCTGGCTGGAATCCCTCTTAGGGATAAGTTAAGAAGTACAGTCATCCAGGAGGGTAGAAAGAAGCCAGTTGAGTTGGTAAGGATGCCATCTGGCCGCGTCTATTGTTTTCCAACACAGTTGAGATTTAACCTCGCCCACTTATGCGTCATAAGTTCTAGTAATTTCCAGGGTCAAGTGTTAGACATTTGGCACACTAGATGTATGAAGGTAATGAACTGTTCCTGCTTACAAGGTTTAATTAATATCAGTTATACTCTAGCTTGGGTGACTTACATTTTGAATTGAGCCGTCCCTTAAGTTATAGATACTATCTCTTTACAGTATCTAGAGATACTCGCCGACAGTACACTTTCCGTCACAGGAACACGATTTACTGGCAGCGAAAATAATCCCACCAGACTCCTTTGCTCCTCCAACAGAGGGATGTCCTTGTCCTTTTTCCTTTTCGTCATTTCAAGCTATAAAAACTCGATCTTCTCTGGAATAATTGTTTTTTTTTGGACGCCCTCGGCTCGAGTTCAGGGCGTTCCGAGCTGAATAAGGGCGTCAAATGACGGCAAGACGGAATATTTGTCATTCTCCGACAGTGTTGGGAAGTAATAAAGTACATTTACTCAAATACTATAATATTCATAATAATAGATTACATTTTGATATTGCCTTTCAAGAGCCCCCAGGCGGCTTCACATGATATAAGGACAGACACACAAACAAACAAGTAGTACTTATGTACAAATACTTGATTCTATGGTGAATTATTATTAAAAGATGAATAACTTTTACTCGGCTCAGCGTAAATAAGATCTTCTTCCACATTATGGATATGACTTTATAATGCCTGCTAAGTTTTGTGGTTTTTCTACCATTTAATTGGCAAAACTGTGCCTGAACGTCGTCTAAATTAGGACGTCAATAACATGAAAGCAAAGGTATGCAGGGAGGAGTTCCAGTTATCTAATCGCTTTTGCGAGCCCTACAATGAATTGAAAACAAACCTATTGCTTTATAATTAGTCCCTGTTTAATAATTGATGATATGAGTTTTGTTTTGTTTCTGCCCGTTAAAAGGTAAGAAATCTGCTTAAACATGAATCCACATTAGGGTATCAGTGAGATATACCAGCAAAGGTACGCAGGAAGGAGTTGAAGTCATCGAAATAATCACTTTTGAAGGCTCTACAATGACTCTTAATCTATAAAACATCTAGTCATGTCTTTGCACCCTCAGCACAATAGACTCAGATGTCCTCCACCGATTCCTCTCATATCTCTTTCTCTCTAAATATAGACGTCAGTGCGGAGCAACCCTCTCGTCACTAAGCCCTCCGGTTTCTGCACCTTTCAGCGCCTTCTGCAGTTTGAAGAGCACGTGTTCTGTTTGTTGTTGTTGTTGTTGTTGTTGTCGGAAGCCGAGTTGGATTCTTAGTCGACACGCATTGACACGGCAGAGCTGTACAATCTTTAATTTGCCGGTTTAAAACAATAAATTCCAGCAATTCTAAACATAATTATCCATGCTGTCCACACCCTTCTCTCTCTCTCACACACATGCATTGTTTTTGGGGGTGTGTCTGCAAAGGGAGGATAGGATTTCCAAACAGCTGTGACATAGTTGGAGTGTGAGTCCTTCTTTTAAACACACTGTAACCTAAAGTGTGGGAGGGGCTGTGTTTCCGGAAATGTCTTTCGTCGTTCAGCATTCCCATTTGTTATATGATATCCTCGGTCCATTAGATCGCATGGAAATATAGCTGAGTGTTCAACAGTACGGGCAGCAATGGATACATATATCTCTGCGCAACAGTTCAATCATATTAGACACCATTTGTGATGATTGGAAACAGAAATGGGAAGCTTAGCATCAACAGGTGTGCAGATTTAAATACTAACAGGTTCCTGTTTTTGTGTCAGGTGCACAAAAATGTCGCTAACAAGCTGGACTAAACAGGAAAGAAAGGTAGGGTTAGCACTGTTGCTAACCATCGGGGAATAATAGATAAATAGATCAAGCCCGGTGACTTTGTTGTGTCCCAATAATGAGATTTTTGACACATTGTAAAGCACTCACGCATCACTGCCGTGTATACCAAGGTGGTTATGCCATCACTTACTGTACGGAGGCTTAGTCACTGGTACTTTCTCATTTACAAAGCCATGTTGGATAAACTACCATCTTATATCTGCTCCCTGATCTCTCGGCGAATTGAAAGTACTTATTGCCTGAGATCGCATGCTGTGGTTTTATTAAATGTGCCAAGTGCTCGGACTGTCTTAGGGAAGAAAGCTTTTAGATGTGCAGCTCCACTAACATGGAACAGTCTGCAAAAAGAATGGAACATTACCAAGCTAGTACCACTACATGTTTTTAACGCTCGGTTGGATGCTACTCAATCAGATGCTGTTGGTACCTGTACATGTGGTTAGATATGTAAATTGTAATCCCTGTACATTTTGCTGTATGATGTCCTTTTGTTGTTCTGTTGTTCTGTTGTTTATGTCTTCATGTGGAACCTACTGCTGCAGGTCTCCCTTGAAAAAGAGATCATTGATCTCAACGGGATTTACCTGATAAATAAAGGTTTTGAATTGAATTGAATTACTGACAGAAATGAAAGTCTTAAAAAATGCCATTCTTCTCCTCCTCACTTTTCTTTGTATCTAAATGATAGATTAGGTGTCTGAATAAAGCCGTTTCCAACTCTTGTAGAAACACCAATAAAGCAGATGATTACACACTTAAAACAACGTTGTGTAAACATACTAAAGAAGGGAAACGCATGGTAGTGCAGGTGATACTATTTGTGCGAGATCCATCACAGTATTTGACACTCTTACTCGATGCTGCCTTGAATAACTCCAAACTACATTTGTTCTTGAGACATCCTCACAGTTCAGACTGAGGAGATTATCAGTGTCTAGGTTTGACAGGAAATGCTGTTGAAGAAGGAGCCAAAGGAGCGCAGGAATGATTGACTCTTAAACCTCCTGGTCCTTCTTCACTCTGCAAAACAAATGACGTGGCATTGTTGCTCTTACATGAAAGAAATGCTCCAATTGTTTTTCTAAGGAAATGTTCCCTTGCTTTGTCGCGTAAAAAAAGCTATTTTTTTAAACATGTTTTGTTCTTCCCGAGTCTCATTTGTTTCCTCATACGTTATAGTTAGTTTTTTATCCCCAGTTTTGTCTCAAACCTAATAGAGGACATAGTTCCTCTGCAGCTGCTTGTTTTATTGCACCCATTCGTCACTCTTTCCTCCGTTTACTTTGCATTGCTCTGTTTTTACTCTGCAGAAGATGCACGAGTCTAATGAGTTCAGGTGCCGGCCAGAGAACGGACCACAGCCACATCTGGCACAGCTTCACTTTATCCAACCTTGAATAACCTTCACAGTTTAAATAACCCACAATGTTGAACACTGCAGTCTCAACATGTCATTACTGCATCAATGGGGAACCAGCAAACAGAAATCAACAGAATATTTGACCTACAAATGATGTCGTCTGTGTGAATTTAAATCGTAGTTTTAACTCTTTCCTTCCCGTCTCTTTTCCAGGTCCATTATCCAGATGTGGAGAGAGTGGAGTGGCTGAATAAGGTACACACACACACACACACACACACACACACACACACACACTGCTTCTCTCTTTCTGTACTTGTTCACAGACACGTCCGCCTCATAATGTCAGTGATATGTTTTATAACACGCATGCCATTCCACCTCAAGTTTACATATATGCTAACTAGGCCACAGAAAGACAGGCACACACACACACACACACACACACACACACACACACACACACACACACACACACACACACACACACACTCTCTCTTTGCTCTTCATTCGGCCTGTTAGCCTGTTAGCCTGTTAGCTAGCACACAGGTATATAAATAGGCTCTGAATCTGGAGCTCTGCTAGACCCTGAACCAGATCTAACATTCCCCAAAGAGAGAGAGGGCTGCACTTCCTCACATAATGCCCTAAATTCCAACCTGTCTGGGAACCATTTATTCAACAATTCTGCAGTTGGAATCAAGAAATAATTAACTGAAAATGTAAAAGTTAGTAAAACCGTACTGTGGGAAGATTTGAAAAGCAGAACCGTGTCAGGTCAATTTACACCAGATCTCTTTACTTTATATGATATATATAGATATATTATATCCTGCACAATAATCAAGAAGTCACCTATATCATAACTGTTGTTCTTTTCCGCGTTTCCTCACATGATGTGGTAAAGGAACGAGGCTGGGTGACTTGAATGACTTAGTTCAAGGTCAAAAAAAGGTTGTGTTTCTTGTAAAGTGAACACGTTAATTCAGTTTTTATTCAAACTATATTTATATATGTCCTTATTTGTACAATGCTTTAGCAATACTGCATGTCATTATGCTAAAAAAGCTATTTGAATTGAGAGGAAAGGGAGTCATGAAGAAGCACTTAGTGTAAATGTCCAGGTGCACTTCCAGTCAGAAGCTAACGGGTGTCGATGAACAGGAAAACACTTTTTTAATATCCGAATCGGACAAAGTGCTCTTCAGGTTTACGGTTGTTTACAAACGCAGAGAGTCTGATTTTAAGGGGCAATAATTAAAGATTTATGCTCCTCTAAAGCAAAGTGTTTTTCTGCATGGAGGTGAAGACTCCTCTTCCGTTCTTACTGCTTATCTACTGAAGTTGAAGTGAGCTAACGTGAGGGATTTAAAGCCTGATTATTAGCCTGCTCATTTGTTAAATCGGCTTATTTTTTGCAAATGAATTACAATCTAAATGTGTGTGTAGCTGGCGGAGAGAGAGTCTAACTATAGCTGCACAAAAAGATCAATAAAAAGTGATAAAACAACAAATACACAATCAATCTAAATGAGAATATTTAATTTATCTCGGGGTAAATTGGGTTTCTTGACAGTTGCTCCATTTAAGAATGAAATGGGATGAAAAATGTATGAAATAAAATATAAATATTTATAAATACATGGTAAGTTCAACTAAGAATGTGAAATAAAATACAATGGAATATGTATATGTATATAAACATAAGAAAATAAGGTACAATGTCTTTATAAGAGAGATCGTAAGAGAACAATATTTACATAAAAATAACAATACATATGTTCAATATTCAATCAAATACAATCGAATACAAATATTTATAAAAATGACAATATGTAGTATTTAAATGACAATAAATACAGTGTTGTGTTCGTAGTATTTATATATTAATGCTGAATTACAGTCAACACAATATTATCATATTTGTTTTATAGAAACATATTATTAATACTCCTAACTGCAACACCCCTATTGGCAACTAAACAAAGTTACAATCCTTATATTTAATTACAATTTATTTGCAAGTTGTCCTTTTTTGGGAGACATTTGACATTTAAAGGAATGAGGTTTCCTCCAGGACTAAAGCACCAAAACAAAACCACAAACAATGCTCGTGTTCAGTCAGATCTTCAGTCCCTTGTTTCCTGAACAGCTGAGAGCCGCTCCTCAAAGACATCAAGTCAGGTGACGATCGGCTCTGAGAACATTCCTGCTCTCACACATTCCCGTTGTCTCGACTGTAAGAGTTCCTCCTCTAGGTCACTGAGCAGCAGAGGATGTCTTTGAGATCGAATGTGGCCTTGGCTGCGGTAACAGATGACTCCCATTATATTACTATAAAACTCTCCTTGCAAAATATACTGTGTGAGAAAGTTTGCAGTGATTATACATCGGTTACTATTCCACAAGTCCATCTCATATTTACTGTTTCTCGTTCGAACCCCATTCCTATATTGCAACATACTTTGGGATTTTAGCCTTTGCACACCATTTACATGTTAGACGCTTTTATCCAAAGCGACTTACACACTCAATACTGTGGACAATCCCCACAGGAGCAATTTGGGGTGAAGTGTCTCAGGGACACAACGACATGCTGACTGCAGTGGGGTTTGAACCTGTGACCTGCTGATCCCAACACCAACGCACTAGTCCACTGCGCCACACGCCTCCTACACATAACACACTACAGGAAAGGGAAATAAACGCATAATAGGAACCCTTTAAAAGAAAACAAAGGAATTCTTACTTGGGTTGAAGTTAAGCGTGGGCAATGTATGAATAAAACATATTGATATCGTGACGTAAGACTAGATATCGCATAGATTTAAGATAAAGAAAGTATTGCATATGTTTATTTTCTTGGTTTTAAAGGCTGCTTTACAGGAAGTGATTGTCAATTTCTAAACTTAACCGACTTGTTCTATTATTATTTGCCTTTATCTGCTAAGCTAATATCTTTAAATAACTTATGATTAATTATCATCAATCCACTCAAATATGTTGTGAAAGCCCCAATATTCAACCTTACAATATCGATATTGAGGTGTTTCATTTGAAATTGTGATTATTCTCCATATTGCCCAGACCCTAAACGAAGCGTGTAGAAAAAAAATGGTGTTGAAAAATGATTTTATAAACACTGACAATGACACCAAGAATGTGAAATCCACAACATGTCTTAGCTCCAGCTGTGCATCCACCATGTTGGATTTAGAGTTGATTAATTATTAATTTCTTCCTCTCTCTTTCTTCTTCAGACGGTGAAGCAGATGTGGCCGTTCATCAGCCAGTTTGTGGACAAGCTATTCAGAGAGACCATCGAGCCGGCAGTGAAGGCCGCAAACCCTCACCTCAGCACCTTCTGCTTCACCAAGATCGACCTGGGCGACAAGGTGACACTGAGACAAAGTTTACCACAATATAATACAGAGGTTCAGGGTTGTTAGCATCTGAAGGGCTTCCTTTACAAAAGTCAATGGGATTTGTCCTTTAGATTTTGGATTATTGCAGAAAATAATCTCTGTGGCAAACACACATTTATGATATTTACGAGCTATGTTCAGCAAGATAATCTCCACATATTAACACCAATTTATGACGTAAGAAGTCAATGTTGGGCTATAAAGGAACTACAGCATGGTCACATGACTTCACATCACCACCGCTAAGCTAAAGGAGGCTAATGTTGGGCTATAAAGGAACTACAACACGGTCACATGACTTCACATCACCACCGCTAAGCTAAAGGAGGCTAATGTTGGGCTATAAACGAACTACAGCACGGTCACATGACTTCACGTCACCACCGCTAAGCTAAAGTTGGCTAATGTTGGGCTATAAAGGAACTACAGCACGGTCACATGACTTCACGTCACCACCGCTAAGCTAAAGACGGCTAATGTTGGGCTATAAAGGAACTACAGCACGGTCACATGACTTCACATCACCACCGCTAAGCTAAAGGTGTCTAATGTTGTCCTATAAAGGAACGACAGCACGGTCACATGACTTCACATCACCACCGCTAAGCTAAAGGTGGCTAATGTTGGGCTATAAAGGAACTATAGCACGGTCACATGACTTCAAGTCACCACCGGTAAGCTAAAGGCGGCTAATGTTGGGCTATAAAGGAACTACAGCACGGTCACATGACTTCAAGTCACCACCGCTATGCTAAAGGCGGCTAATGTTGGGCTATAAAGGAACTACAGCACGGTCACATGACTTCACGTCACCACCGCTAAGCTAAATGTGGCTAATGTGACAAGGTGACACTGAGACAAAGTTTACCACAATATAATACAGAGGTTCAGGGTTGTTAGCATCTGAAGGGCTTCCTTTACAAAAGTCAATGGGATTTGTCCTTTAGATTTTGGATTATTGCAGAAAATAATCTCTGTGGCAAACACACATTTATGATATTTACGAGCTATGTTCAGCAAGATAATCTCCACATATTAACACCAATTTATGACGTAAGAAGTCAATGTTGGGCTATAAAGGAACTACAGCATGGTCACATGACTTCACATCACCACCGCTAAGCTAAAGGAGGCTAATGTTGGGCTATAAAGGAACTACAGCACGGTCACATGACTTCACATCACCACCGCTAAGCTAAAGGAGGCTAATGTTGGGCTATAAACGAACTACAGCACGGTCACATGACTTCACGTCACCACCGCTAAGCTAAAGTTGGCTAATGTTGGGCTATAAAGGAACTACAGCACGGTCACATGACTTCACGTCACCACCGCTAAGCTAAAGACGGCTAATGTTGGGCTATAAAGGAACTACAGCACGGTCACATGACTTCACATCACCACCGCTAAGCTAAAGGTGTCTAATGTTGTCCTATAAAGGAACGACAGCACGGTCACATGACTTCACGTCACCACCGCTAAGCTAAAGGTGGCTAATGTTGGGCTATAAAGGAACTATAGCACGGTCACATGACTTCAAGTCACCACCGGTAAGCTAAAGGCGGCTAATGTTGGGCTATAAAGGAACTACAGCACGGTCACATGACTTCAAGTCACCACCGCTATGCTAAAGGCGGCTAATGTTGGGCTATAAAGGAACTACAGCACGGTCACATGACTTCACGTCACCACCGCTAAGCTAAATGTGGCTAATGTTGGGCTATAAAGGAACAACAGCACAGTCACATGACTTCACGTCACCACCGCTAAGCTAAAGGCGGCTAATGTTGGGCTATAAAGGAACTACAGCACGGTCACATGACTTCACGTCACCACCGCTAAGCTAAAGGAGGCTAATGTTGGGCTATAAAGGAACTACAGCACGGTCACATGACTTCACGTCACCACCGCTAAGCTAAAGGAGGCTAATGTTGGGCTATAAAGGAACTACAGCACGGTCACATGACTTCACGTCACCACCGCTAAGCTAAAGGAGGCTAATGTTGGGCTATAAAGGAACTACAGCACGGTCACATGACTTCACGTCACCACCGCTAAGCTAAAGACGGCTAATGTTTGGCTATAAAGGAACTACAGCACGGTCACATGACTTCACGTCACCACCGCTAAGCTAAAGGCGGCTAATGTTGGGCTATAAAGGAACTACAGCACGGTCACATGACTTCACGTCACCACCACTAAGCTAAAGGTGGCTAATGTTGGGCGTGATGACGTTTAGTCGTCTCATTTAGACACTTGTTAGAAACCATTGTTTTTAAATGAACTAGTGTGGTATTTACTGACGTATTTTATGTCTTAGAACAAAATGTTAAAGTTCCTCACGGTTTAACCACATACTAAACCATTATTTACTCTTTACATTATTATTTACATTTCAGACTAGAGGTAACAAACCGGTATTTTCTTTGAGATTTACTCACTTTGAGACGTTTTTATCTGTGTTTCTGCAGCCGCTGAGAGTGAACGGGGTGAAGGTTTACACAGAGAATGTGGACAAGAGGCAGGTCATCATGGATCTGCAGATCAGGTACACACACACACACACACACACACACACACACACACACACACACACACACACACACACACACTTTAACCCAAATACATTTTATTTTGTAAAGGATAAGGCTTCTGATATTCCATATTTGACCAATTGTCAACAATCCCCATGAAAAGAAAAATAACAACAATGTATCAGCAAAGTAGTGCAAATAGTCTCAAATGCACTTTTTACTCTTATTTACATTACATTTCATTTAGCTGACGCTTTTATCCAAAGCGACTTACAATAACCAATCACAGGGACATTCTCCCTGGAGTAACTAAGGGCTAAGTGCCTTACTCAAGGGCACACTAGTGGTGGTGTTCCAGGCGGAATTTGAACTCACAACCTTTCCGATCTTCAGCCCACCTCACTATCCATTAATCCACCACTACTAGTTACCATTTAAATGACAAATTGTTGAAAATTAAGCTGTTTATGTATATATTTGCTTTGTTTTGGTCTTTGCTTAGGATATGTTGACATTGAAGTTTTAGATTAATACGGAGGAGGATTTGGGTCGCTTTAATCTAAACAAATCTTCACTTTTGGTCAGAATTTGTCCTCCTTTTGAATCGTCTTCCGTAGAAAAACACTCAAACATTTTCACTTAAAAATTCAAGTGTTTCTGCTTCAGTTTGTCGAGAAAAAATGCAAACCATTAAGACATGAATGTACAATTCACATTTGTATTTCCTTCTTCCTTCCCTCACAAATACCATCATTGAATCTATTTTTAATCTTTCCAGTTTTGTGGGGAATACAGAGATTGACGTGGACATCAAGAAGTACTACTGCAGAGCGGGAATCAAGAGTATTCAGGTAGGACTGCAGCCGGGAATATATCATGTGAAGTGCTATTAAAAAAAAAAAATGTCAATGCCAGGTCCGGCAGTAGCTCAGTCAGTAGAGGCTTGGACTGTGAGCCGTGGGGTCGCCGGTTCAAGTCCCCGACCAGACCTAAAAATGGAGTGTGGACTGCTACTTGGAGAGGTCCCAGTTCACCTCCTGCCCTGCTTTGGTGCCCTTGAGCAAGGCACCGGGTCTTTAGGGTTGATGTTTGTTAGACAAGCAACACATACAGCAACAATTAGGATCCCTGCACTTGTAATCAACTTTTTAAAAACTATTTTAAATGAACAATCAATAAATCAGAGGAACAATCAACTGATTACGTGAGGATGAAAATATTCCTTGGTTGCAGCCGTAGTCAGATTTGTGTTTGTGGAATAATTTCTTTAACATAAAATACAATAGAATAAAGAAAACTAGTAAATTAATACTCAAAGTAATTCAGTTTGCATGCTTCTAAACTTGAACTGCACATGCATATGTATTTATGAGGCTAAATAGGTAAAGAAATGGACGGACATTCAGACTGGTTTTCCATATAATGACAATTATCCAATTATCAATTCTAAGTTGCCTGATACTGTACAGCTTAGAAATAACAACAATCCAGCCATTAAAACAAACAAAAACACTGAATAAATTAACATATTATCCCAGATTACCCCACGTTGGACGTCTCTTTAAAATGACCGCTCAGAGGAGAGGAGTTCTCATTTCTCTAACCGCCTGCTGCTTCCCCTCCTCGTCTCCTCTCTCCTCGGCTCCCCTCCTCGGCTCCTCCTCTCGCATCTCCTGTGGGTGGGACTAAGACACGAGGATAGGAGTCGAGGAGGGGAAATCCCAGAAATGAGATACGGCCTAAGACTGCGATATAATGTTTGTGTAGCAATAATACATACGACATATATGTTTTAAATGTCTCCAGTACCGATAAAAAGACCGATAACGTTGGAGCTTAACGGCGCACCATTCGTTCACCAACGAATCGACGACTGAATTAGTTGGCAACTCATTTGGTCGTCGATTTTAATCGATTAAGTCGATTAGTTGTTGCACCCCTAAGTAGTAATATAATACATGTTATTTATATAGCGCTTTTCCCGGTGCTCAAAGAGCAGTGTGTAAACCGCCCCGCCCCCTCGCACACAGACGGGGGAGAGATCTCTCGTCTGGATTGGAAAGATCGAAAATACTAAATAATCATAGACGCATTGTTTTGTCTTTTTGCGTATTAGAAACGGAGTTGGCGACACTAAAACTGCAATATAATGTTTATGTAGCAATAATACATATGAGATATTTTTTAAATGTCTCCAGTACCGATAAAAAGGCCGATAACGTCGGAGCTTAACGGTACCACGGTCTTTAATAATTCAGCCCCGGGGCCCGTTTAGTACCGCGGCTCGGTACCCATCCCTAGTTATGTGACTTATTTTCCTTTATGATTTGAGAAGGAAAGCAACACAGATATCATTACAAAGCTCATCATCCCCTCTTTTAAACAGTGCGTATAACTCTAAATCTGATCAGCTCTTTCAGACAGATGTTATCATCGACAGCAGCTCTCATTTTCTTTGACCCCTGTGTGACCTCTTGCCTTCTGCAGAAACACTTTTACATAATGTGTTGACACAGGCCTGATAAAGGAGCTGTTATCCTCTCCGCTGCATCAGGCCATATTTGCTGTTCAGAGATCAGAGAAAGTGAGCGCAGTGAATATTTGCTTTTAAACTGTACATCTGCAGCGTGTCGGCTTTTAGAGACTGCTGAAGAAATAAGTAGTTAGAGCTGAGCATGAATGATGAGTCACTTTCTGAGACTTTCTCACGCCACTTACTCCAGAACAGGACTGCTTCTTCTGCTAAAACCATGGTGGAATATAATGAAGAACATTCACTTATTTATATTAATTTTAGCAGAATATGAAAACAAGCTTTCTCATGTAGTTAAATATATAGCTTTTATTAGTAGATGTGAACTTACTCCCCTCTTCTTGCCTTATTTAAAATGTTCTGCCGCTGAAACAATCTCCAATGTCCTTCATTTTATTATTTTTATTGTACAAAGTTTAATTTAATGATACCTTCAACATTTTTTTACTCTATTTACTTAATATTAATTCATTGAATTCATTTATTTTATTATCTATTCATTTATGTATTTTATGTATATTATTAATGTATTATTATTGATTTATTATTGATTTATTTATTATTATGTTTTTATTTATGCATTTATTTTATTTCTTACATTTTAGCATTACTACTTTTCCTTAAGTACAAATTAGGGATGCAGCGAATATTCGGCCACCGAAAATTATCGGCCGAAAATGGTTAAAAAGGCCCTTTCGGCCGAAAGGGTTTTAGCACCGAACAAATATCACCGAATGTCAGAACAGGCTTACGTTGGTAACCTAACGTGTTGTTGTGATGACGTAATAAAGACGCGGCGACCATGCTCGCGGCTGGCTCACAGGGGGGGGAACATTGACCTTTGTCATCGAGATTGCCCTGAGCCTTTAACAAATCGTATTAAATAATCTGATGACAGACTGTAAACAGAATAGCTGAAATTTTAACAAACTAAATAACTCAGTTACCTCTAATCATTAACCCATGTTTGTATAATGTAGTTAACTCCGTGTGTTGCTGCTAGCATACATAACACCTGACGTGGAAACGTTACTCGTGGATGGAGCTACAGAGCTGCTAGAGAGACGGTCGAACCCGGTACATTCCTCCGTCTGCATGCGGTACACTTTTGCTAAATGTTTAGACAAATTGCTCGTGCTTACATGCTAAACTCTTATTGCACTTATGGTAACAAGTATTCTCCACATCGAGACGGGTAAAGTTTAACCACACCTCGGAGCGCGTTCTCTCCGCTATCTCCGCAGTGTGCTCCGCTGCATGTAGCAGCTGCGTGTGTGTAAACTGCCCCGCCCCCTCGCACACAGACGGGGGGGAGAGATCTCGTCTGATCAAAAATACATCATAGACGCATTTGTTGTCTTTGCATATTAGAAACGAGTTGGCGACACTAAGACTGCGATATCATGTTTTTTAGCAATAATACATGACATATATAAATGTACTGTATGCATTCAAAAGTGCTGAATAAATGTTTTATGGACCCATAATAGTGATTATTATTTAAGTTAAGTTTTGCCATAATCATGTCTATTTCCATAATCAGGTAGCTGAACAACATTGGTAACAAATGTATACATTATATATATATATTTCTATTAATCCTTTTCGGCCTATTGGCATTCGGCTTTCGGCCAACTGTTTCCTATTTTCAGTATCGGTTTCGGCCAAGAATTTCCCATTCGGTGCACCCCTAGTACAAATTCCGAGTACTTCTTCTACCTCGGGTTAAAATGCATCATCCTGACACACACAATCTCCTGCCCATGATTTATAAACCTTCAGGAAGGAGGTTGGTGTGTATAAACAAAATTAATCTTAAATCTCTTCACTGCGCCCATTTTGATCTTAATGTTGGTATTTGATTACTCACAGTGAGTTACGACCAAATTTGGTGCTGCAGACGGGCAGGCTGCATATCTGAGCTCTGAGTCACTGACAGAGTGTGTGTGTGTGTGTGTGTCTTCAAGTGGAAACATTCACTGATGTTACTTCAGAGTGTGTGTGTGTGTGTGTGTGTGTGTGTGTGTGTGTGTGTGTGTGTGTGTGTGTGTGTGTGTGTGTGTGTGTGTGTGTGTGTGTGTGTGTGTGTGTGTGTGTGTGTGTGTGTGTGTGTGTGTGTGTGTGTGTGTGTGTGTGTGTGTGTGTGTGTGTGTGTGTGTGTGTGTGTGTGTGTGTGTGTGTGTGTGTGTGTGTGTGTGTGTGTGTGTGTGTGTGTGTTCAAAAGATCATATTAAATCGGTGAATGAAACAAATAAGATAGTAGAAGTTGGATACATGTATACGAAATACATAAGGAATATCTGCTTAAAAAAACAGCTGATAAATGGCCTTACATGATATGTTATGGGACTTTTTAAAATAAATACGTTTCAGTGAGATATTAAACATCACTAAGGACTAACTGACTAATTCATTATGTGTTGTATTATATCCTCTGCAGCTCCATGGGACGCTGAGAGTGGTGATGGAGCCTCTGCTGGGAGACATGCCTCTGATCGGAGCGCTGTCCGTCTTCTTCCTCAAGAAACCAGTGAGTTTTTATCTTAAAGGGGACCAAGGGCAAAATGCACTTTGTGATGTCTTTTAAACATATATGTGTCCCCGGTGTGTCGGGGAACTCACGCAGCGTCAGAAAATAAAACCCTCTCTCTTTTCCTCCGTACCCAAATCTCTAAAAACGGGGGAACAACGGAGCTGATCCAGATTTGCGTCGGATATGACGTAATATCTGAAATGTGGACCCACGGCCCAATCAGAAACGTTGCTATCAGAAACAATGCCCGACTGTTTTGGACGTAATATGGTCGGTGTTTACATTAGCATCGCTAACACTCAGAGCTAACCTGTACTGGAGAGCATGTGTGTGAAGAAGCAGGAAGTAAAAAGGAACTCACCTTGTGGTATAACCGGCAAGAGAGAAAGCCTTTGAGCTCCATACTGTTTCAGAGAGAATCCTTGATAATCCATGATATGGCGTTTCATCACGGCAGCATTTAGTTTAGACGGTAGCTGCCGGGTCCCGCATGAGCTCAGCCCCTTCCTTTTTTTCTTTTTTTTTAAAGGTTTATACATAAAATCAGCACTTTAGAAACAGGAAGTGAAATAGAGGGATATGAGGCGTGGCTAGAATGGGTGATCTGTTTGGTATTTTGAGCAAAACACTTCATAGACATGTTTTTATATATTTTTATATATCTGAGACCTATGCTATTGCCTAAAGATAGCATGATAGGTGACCTTTAAACAACACGTACAGTGTCAAAGACAAAAAACAGGTGTGCAGGTTGTCCATTTTGTAACCCCCCCCTACAGAATAAGACAAGATGAATGGTACAAAAACATTTAAAATGATAGACAAACAAATCAGAATCAGAAACAGGTTTATTACCAGGTAGGGTGAGACATACGAGGAATTTGACTTGGGGTCAAAGAACACGATAGAGAACTATTTTAAGAACACTGTAGTAAAAAAAGAATATGGTTGAAATCACAGCACAATAAACTAAAACATGTTAGACATCATGGTTGACTTTAGTAAATCTGGGTTCTAATTCAGCTTAAAAGTGATGAATCGGTTAGGGAAGAGTACACAGTTTCAAACTTTTCATGTACGTTGAAAATGGTTGCACCAGTGAGTAGCTTTAACCTTCGACCTCTTTCCTCTGGTCCTCTTTATCAGTGCATTCCTCGCTGACTGCTCTCTTCCTTCCTCTGATTCTGCACGTCTTCCAGATGCAGCCTTTGATACGGGAACACTAGGGCTGCACGATTACAGGATTATGCACAAAACTACTTTGCGATTATTATCTTAACTGGTTTTTCCATTATGCCAGATTTGAGCTAGTAGCTCATTTCCATCTGCAGTCCCGAGGTCCTTTATTCTCACTTGTTTAAGAGGATCTGTATTAAACAAAGATATGCTATTAAGTCTGTAGAATAGGATTTGCAGGCCAGGATGTTTATGCAATTAGTTCAGGGTCATTTATACACATATTTGGCTGTAACAAATATTGCGCTTCCTGTGATTTGAATATGAAACTAATCCATAATGAGATTTGTATTACATCTTGAATATTTGCATACTAAGGCTGCACGATTACAGGATTATGCATGAAACTACTTTGCGATTATCTTGACTGGTATTGCCATTGAAGGGATTGATCATTTTTGCATCATTATTCTCACTTGTTTAAGAGGATCTGTATTAAACAAAGATATGTTATTAAGTCTGTAGAATAGGATTTGTAGACTGGGATATCTATGCAGTTAATTCACAGATATTTGAATATTAGCCCATATCGCCATTTTGCAGCCCTAACCGGTTCCCATATACAAATGTACCTTCAAGATCTTTCAACAGACATGTGCAATAGTTTCCTCTCCTCAGAGAATTTGCATATTCTATATTTTGATCTGTCATTTGCATATGGACCGAGTAGACGTCTGTGTACAGGTCTTAGGAGAAAGCACACATAAACAAAGAGAGACAGTTATTACTTCTCTACAAGAAGATTATTATTGAAGCTGACATTTTTGAGTCATCATTTTTTCCGATATGAGTTGTTCTGAGAAACCCCCCGCGCTGCTTTCTTTGTCTTCCTGTGCCAGCGTGGCAGAACGGGGCATTGTGGGTAACCGTGGTCTACATCTAGAGCGCTAACTAGGCCACAGAAAGACACACACACACACACAAACACACACACACACACTACCGTTCAAAGAAGGGAAATATTGTACCACTAAAAAACACGATGTTTTGATGTGGATTAACATTATCCAAACTTATATTTTTAAGTACCTTAAATAATGTGAACTAACAGAACATTATTGGATGCAATTTAGCTTTTTATTTGTGTAAAATCATTTCACATTGCCAGCTTTTGAAATGATTTTACGTTTTTGTTTATTTTTGATAACTTGTCTTATAAATGAGTATTCTTACTCCATAAACTATAAGTGCATATGATCCCACTTACCTAAATACCTTTTGCAACACAGTACTTCCTTATAAGAGAGTATTTCGACAGTGTTGTACTTTTACTTCTAAGGATCTGAATGAATGATCTTTGAGGAGCTGTCTTCATTTCTGCAGTTTCATGCGTCACTTTTCCTCATCAGCTGTACAACTGCTCCCAGTACTTCACAATTTAAGCCTCTTTCAAAACCCTTTTTCATTCAACATTGCAGTCACTCTTAATCCGTAACACACACACACACACACACACACACACACACACACACACACACACACACACACACATACCATGTTTACATCACTTCAGGGGACATTATATTGACTTACATGTATTTCCTTATCCTAACCTTAACCATAACCAACACATGCCTAACCCTTACACACGCACACGCACACACACACACACACACACACACACACACACACACACACACACACACACACACACACACACCATGTTTACATCACTTCAGGGGACATTATATTGACTTACATGTATTTCCTTATCCTAACCTTAACCATAACCAACACATGCCTAACCCTTACACACGCACACACACACACACACACACACACACACACACACACACACACACACACACACACACACACACACACACACACACACACACACACACACACACACACACACACAGTGATATGTTTTAAAACACGCGTGCCATTCCACCTTAAGTTCACATATGTTAACCCTGACAGCTGGCACGAGGCTGCGCTCATCTCATGGTGCCTGCTGTTATTTTAAGATTCCCAACATGAGTCTGGTGATATGGACCTTACAGTTAGTGTAATGAAGATTACAACACCTGGAACATTGGGAGAAATTACAGTCAACTATAATACCTTTTTGATTAGTCAGTTTTAAAACTATGTGAACATGATTTTGGAGATTTGAGATCAAAATGAGAATTCTGAGAAACAAATAATTCCAATTTTCCTCAGAAAATCACAGGATTCTGACATTTCTCTCCTGAAATATTAGGATATATTACTTTAACAACATCTGGAACATTATGTTATACAGCCAGGTTACGTTTTCTGTATTGTTCAATTTGGTTTTTGTCCAGTCTTCTTACTGCACTTTTCTAGCATTTTTCTTTCCTGCAAAGTGTGTGTTGCTAAAAAAAGGAATCCATATCACCTCCATCTACGTCAAGTAATATAAGGAGACCTAACTTTCCTTTCATAAGAAACACTTTTCTTATTTTGACTTCTCCTTATCCACTGTTGTATCTAATAGCTGTTAATTTGTTTATGCAATGTCATTTACAAAGTACCTCAGCACAGACTTCCTGTTTGTTTGAGAGCTAACGCAATCAGCTCTATTGAGTAACGGGTCGATTGAGTTACAGTCGGATCTGCAGAGTCATGGTGCAGCCCGAACCTGAGGAGCTGAGAATATGTAGAAGACAAATCATTGAGATTTAGTTCAAAAGCTAAAACCAGGGTTCGTACGTACGGTCATTGAAAACCTGGAAAAGTCATGGAAATTGAAAATGCAAATTCCAGGCCCTGGAAAAGTCGTGGAAAACAATATTTTTCCCAAAGTTTTGAAAAAGTCATGGAAATGTAACTAAAGTTGCATCAAATATAATTTACATTTAATCTAATCGCTGAAATAATCTGCGGTCGCGAGCTCATTCACGGGCAACAGCTCTGGTGGACATTCCTGCTGTCAGCATGCCAATTGCACGCTCCCTCAAAACTTGCAACATCTGTGGCATTGTGCTGTGTGATAAAACTGAACATTTCAGAGTGGCCTTTTATTGCGGCCAGCCTAAAGCACACCTGTGCAATAATCATGCTGTCTAATCAGCATCTTGATATGCCACACCTGTGAGGTGGGATGGATTATCTCGGCAAAGGAGAAGTGCTCACTATCACAGATTTCTTCAGATTTGTGAACAATATTAGAGAGAAATGGTTATTTTGTGTTTATAGAAAATGTTTTAGATCTTTGAGTTCATCTCATGAAAAATGGGAGCAAAAACAAAAGTGTTGCATTTATATTTTTGTTCAGTGGATATGATATGTTTTATAATGATTGATCATGAAAGTGTTCTCAAAGCTGGTGAAGGTGCAGCTAGTTTGAATGGCTTTGTATACTGCAGGGTAGCTGGTGGATTTACTCCAGGTGGAACTAAAGTCTGATTCAACACTTGGTTATATTTCACATCATTCATCCAGATCTGTGAAGTAACTAAAGGTATTAAATACATGTAGTGGAGGAGAAGTACACCATGTACCTCTGAACTGTAGTGGAGTCGAAGTACACCATGTACCTCTGAACTGTAGTGGAGTCGAAGTACACCATGTACCTCTGAACTGTAGAGGAGTAGAAGTACACCATGTACCTCTGAACTGTAGTGGAGTAGAAGTACACCATGTACCTCTGAACTGTAGTGGAGTCGAAGTACACCATGTACCTCTGAACTGTAGTGGAGTCGAAGTACACCATGTACCTCTGAACTGTAGTGGAGTAGAAGTACACCATGTACCTCTGAACTGTAGTGGAGTCGAAGTACACCATGTACCTCTGAACTGTAGTGGAGTCGAAGTACACCATGTACCTCTGAACTGTAGTGAGTGGGGGGGGGGGGCTCGGATCCTTGTCACCTTTTTCATACCTGATGAGTTTGCCTCCTTGACTGCAGTTGCTTTTCCTGTAGAAGCTAGTAAGCCTACTATTTGATTTGTTTTACATAGGCACAACATGTTTCATATGCAGACATTATGTTCCTGTTCCATGTTCAAATAAACCATTTTCAGTGGTCATTTTTTTTTGGTCATGGAAAATGAGATAAAGGTCATTGAGAAGTCATTGAGAAGTCATGGAAAATCATTGAAAATCATTGGTGAAAAAGTGTATGAACTGTAAAACGTAAAATCACTTTTCTTAATGTTTCTGCTGCAGCTGAGAGTTGTTGTATTTAGTTATTGAAGGAGATTTAAAAATAGTTCCTTATAATTATGTTTAGAGTTGGAATATATTAAGCTTTTGTTTGTATCTGATTGATCCGATAAGATTAATTGTCCATATTAAATCGTAACTTTTTATATTTGAAATACTGTAAATGTAACTATTTTACTTAACAGAATATTGCACAAACAAAAATATAACAGGCCATTAAATGTGTTTAAATACTTTAAAACCTAAGTTGCTATCAGGGGAAAATCCACCATTTGATAGGTAGTACAATTATTTCTACAAAAAACCTCAAAAATAGTAATTGTTTTTTTAAATTGTTGTAGCTTATATCTTTAGCTCAGCATCACCAGAAAACTTAAACCTATTTGATCGTCACATTAAAGGCTCATCTAAAGACTCATCTGGTGTCAAAACAAAAGTCTAAAAGTGTGTCTATGTAATTGTGATATCCATTAATATGTTTAACAGTTTAAGAGGTCATGTAATATACCTGTTAAAAACTTTATGTATTTACCTAATTATTGTTTTCCTTTTATCTTCATCTATTATTTCAGTTGCTGGACATCAATTGGTCGGGACTCACAAACATGCTGGATATTCCTGGTGTCAGGTGAGAAAGTGTGTGTGTGTGTGTGTGTGTGTGTGTGTGTGTGTGTGTGTGTGTGTGTGTGTGTGTGTGTGTGTGTGTGTGTGTGTGTGTGTGTGTGTGTGTGTGTGGTGTGTGTGTGTGTGTGGTGTGTGTGTGTGTGTGTGTGTGTGTGTGTGTGTGTGTGTGTGTGTGTGTGTGTGTGTGTGTGTGTGTGTGTGTGTGTGTGTGTGTGTGTGTGTGTGTGTGTGTGTGTGTGTGTGTGTGTGTGTGTGTGTGTGTGTGTGTGTGTGTGTGTGTGTGTGTGTGTGTGTGTGTGTGTGTGTGTGTGTGTGTGTGTGTGTGTTGCTGGTCTCTGCATCCATTGATTTTACCTTGAATTACTCCGTTTGTTGTTGTATAGAACGAAGGTGCACACACACTCTTTAGTATTTAAATAAAACCATGCTGAGCACTCGGACGTTTCTTTGCAGCGTCCAGAAGGGAAAATATTTCCTGACAAAATAAAGCTGGTGCTTTTGAAGAGACGTTCCCAGTGGACACACTCTCAGACTGCTGCTGAAATTACATTACATTTACCAGCGGATTACAGAATGGATTATGACCTTTATTCATTTCCCCACTAAGTATCGTATTTATAGTAACGTGATTATAAAAGTGGAGCCGCCGCAGACTGAGTTGTGATGTCGGATAGATTATGCACTTCCAGACGACATCAAATACATCAGTAAATACCCCACTGTTGAATAAAAAAAAACGCGGTTGCTAACAAGTGTCTAAATGAGACGACTAAACGTCATCACGACCAACATTAGCCACCTTTAGCTTAGCGGTGGTGACGTGAAGTCATGTGACCGAGCTGTAGTTCCTTTATAGCCCAACATTAGCCGCCTTTAGCTTAGCGGTGGTGATGTGAAGTCATGTGACCGTGCTGTAGTTCCTTTATAGCCCAACATTAGCCACCTTTAGCTTAGCGGTGGTGACGTGAAGTCATGTGACCGTGCTGTAGTTCTTTTATAGCCCAACATTAGCCACCTTTAGCTTAGCGGTGGTGATGTGAAGTCATGTGACCCTGCTGTAGTTCCTTTATAGCCCAACATTAGCCACCTTTAGCTTAGCGGTGGTGATGTGAAGTCATGTGACCTTGCTGTAGTTCCTTTATAGCCCAACATTAGCCACCTTTAGCTTAGCGGTGGTGACGTGAAGTCATGTGACCGTGCTGTAGTTCTTTTATAGCCCAACATTAGCCACCTTTAGCTTAGCGGTGGTGATGTGAAGTCATGTGACCCTGCTGTAGTTCCTTTATAGCCCAACATTAGCCACCTTTAGCTTAGCGGTGGTGATGTGAAGTCATGTGACCTTGCTGTAGTTCCTTTATAGCCCAACATTAGCCACCTTTAGCTTAGCGGTGGTGACGTGAAGTCATGTGACCGTGCTGTAGTTCCTTTATAGCCCAACATTAGCCACCTTTAGCTTAGCGGTGGTGACGTGAAGTCATGTGACCGTGCCGTAGTTCCTTTATAGCCCAACATTAGCCACCTTTAGCTTAGCGGTGGTGATGTGAAGTCATGTGACCGTGATGTAGTTCCTTTATAGCCCAACATTAGCCACCTTTAGCTTAGCGGTGGTGACGTGAAGTCATGTGACCGTGATGTAGTTCCTTTATAGCCCAACATTAGCCACCTTTAGCTTAGCGGTGGTGACGTGAAGTCATGTGACCGTGCTGTAGTTCCTTTATAGCCCAACATTAGCCACCTTTAGCTTAGCGGTGGTGACGTGAAGTCATGTGACCGTGCCGTAGTTCCTTTATAGCCCAACATTAGCCACCTTTAGCTTAGCGGTGGTGACGTGAAGTCATGTGACCGTGCTGTAGTTCCTTTATAGCCCAACATTAGCAACCTTTAGCTTAGCGGTGGTGACGTGAAGTCATGTGACCGTGCTGTAGTTCCTTTATAGCCCAACATTAGCCACCTTTAGCTTAGCGGTGGTGACGTGAAGTCATGTGACCGTGCTGTAGTTCCTTTATAGCCCAACATTAGCAACCTTTAGCTTAGCGGTGGTGACGTGAAGTCATGTGACCGTGCTGTAGTTCCTTTATAGCCCAACATTAGCCACCTTTAGCTTAGCGGTGGTGACGTGAAGTCATGTGACCGTGCTGTAGTTCCTTTATAGCCCAACATTAGCCACCTTTAGCTTAGCATCGGTGATGTGAAATCATGTGACCGTGCTGTAGGTCCTTTATAGCCCAACATTAGCCACCTTTAGCTTAGCGGTGGTGACATGAAGTCATGTGACCGTGCTGTAGTTCCTTTAGTTTTTTACGTCTAAAACCATAAATTGATTTTAATATAATCCTGCTGAGTATCGAATCATTCTTTTGTAGCAGATCTTATTTTCTGCTATATTCCAAAATCCAATGGAAGAATCCCATTGGCTTTTTGTCAGGGAGATGCTAACTTCCATGTCGGCCTACAAAAATACATCATCACTGCATCACTCTTTTGCCAATTATTTAGCCAAGAAGCTAGCTCGGCTAATAACAACAGTATGTATTTTTGAAACCTGACTTTCCCCCATAGTGTTGTACTTATTGTTTTGAGTTTATTGCGCTTCCACCCATTAATTTGTATCCTAAAAGAAGCCCAGATGATACATGCAACAGGAGACATCCTATCATAAGTGTGCTAACACACTGCTGGCTGGTTTCCTCTGTGTTGACTTGTTGCTGGTTCCTGCTGATTCACTGTTTGTTTCAGCAGAGAAACACTGCGGTTTCCAAAAGTCTCCGCCCTGTGAAATGTAGCCTTCCTTGTTTGACGAGTTTGTATGACATCACCTGTGTGTGTGTGTGTGTGTGTGTGTGTGTGTGTGTGTGTGTGTGTGTGTGTGTGTGTGTGTGTGTGTGTGTGTGTGTGTGTGTGTGTGTGTGTGTGTGTGTGTGTGTGTGTGTGTGTGTGTGTGTGTGTGTGTGTGTGTGTGTGTGTGTGTGTGTGTGTGTGTGTGTGTGTGTGTGTGTGTGTGTGCGAGCCCTGCCCTTGCCCCACCCTCCTCTCTCTCTCCCTCCCTTCCTTCCTGTGAGAGCCCTCATTATTTCCTCAGTGAGGATTTGCATGTTTCGTCCTGATGCAGCAGGACATCCTGATGTGTTTAGTGAGTCAGCAGACCAGGAATTAACTGAGATCAACTTCAGAGCTTTTGCATGAATTTAGAGTCTGATACACAGACCCAGGATCAGCTCCTCCAGGGGGGATTTATTCCAGTAGTGAGGCAGAGCAGCTGTGTTTTAATGCACGATGCTGCTGCCCTCTAGAGGGAATTAGGGGATGTCATCCATGCATACTTACATATGAAAACAGATATCCTTTATTTTTCAACAACGGGGAATTGTACATTGTTACAACAAAGAGACAAGCACATGTTAGTAAAATCACATTAAATAAAATCACAAAATAATGCAGTATTTCAAGTGAAAGTAAAAAACATCACAAAACCTGTGGATTTAAAACATGGTATGAAGTAGGGCTGTGCGATTATGGCAAAAATCATAATCACGATTATTTGGGTCAATAATTGATATCACGATTATTTTGACGATTATTCATTGACCATTTATTGAACTTTAAAACAAATAATATTTTACCAATAAACAAGATCAACAAATATGTTGGAGCGCACTTCCAAAACCATACTAAACATATATTAATAATATGATAAATAAAAATAAATTAGACCAAAATAAATTAAATCAAATATGATGCAGTGCACTGTCACAACCTACTGAAAACTCCTTAACATATAGCCAACATTTTGGTAAAACATATTCATTATTCCACTCAGACCCGGCGGCAGACATACGTCTCTGGGCGGGCATTTGATTTACCAGGGCGGGCCCACCACGAAACTTACATTTCCTGGGAAATCTCGAGATTTGTCAAGGGGGGGGGGGGGGGGGGGGGGGGGGGGGGTTAGGTTGCCATAAGGCTGTTGACGGTCTTATAATAGGCTACATCCATTGGTTGGTTTTGTGGCACATTTGTAACGCTGTGCCTACTTGGGCAGGACACAGGCAAACCTGAGCGCACAGGGTGGAGAGGTGGAGTAAGGTTGAGCGATGGAGAGAGAGAGAAATTGAGCGAGGCAGAGAGCATGTGCAGCGGTCGGCTTGAGAGTCAATTTATCTTCAAAATATAATTGCCAGCCTCCCTTGTCCCTGACTGGCTTGCTAGCTCGTTGGTAACTGATGTCTTCTAATGTGCCTGCATCTGGCGCTGAGTTGCCATATTCCTTTCAAGTGTATAAGTGTGAACCACTTCCTGATATTGTTGCAGATAAATATAAATGATAATAGCCAAACTAACCTAGCAAGAGTAAACTGACAGGCTGCTGTGCCGCATCTCACTCAAAAACCCACACGACTCAACCCAGCGAAAAACCAGTCTCTTGCGCAGCCTTTCATTCAGAATTTCATAGCAAAAAAATAAAATAATCTTTCAATATAGTTTAAAACAAAAATAAATATTAGGACAAAGCCCTACAAATAACAACAATAAACATAATCAGTGGCGGCTCCAGAGTATTTTTGTTGGTTAATCTATGGTAGGGCTAACCCATACAGTGGTGGGGCTCAAGTCAGTATTTGCAATGTAATTACATACACGCTCCCCTTGACAGTGAAACGCCACGCGTGAGGTTTAGATTATTTCCCTGTCTCAATCCAAATTGAACTGTTTGAAATAAAAAGGCACATTTGTGTTGTAGTAAATAAAAAGGGCGACCTGGAGCCAATCCTGCAATTTCCCCACAGGTGAAAGAGTTGACATGCTGAAAACCCAACCCCTGCAGGGGGGTCTGGGGGGATTCTCCCCCAGGAGATTTTTTGAAATACTAACATAAAATACACATTCTGGTACTCTCTTGAGAAGAGAAATAAATAAATCTATTACTACACGACATATTTAAAAAAAATGAATGCCATTTTAGTTTTGTGTTACTTTGTTCTGAAAGCTGAACCTGCTGCTCCTCACAGAGAGAAGAGGGAAGAGGCTGTGTGAATGACTTTACATTGTGGATAAGGGTGGATAGCCCCCATTGTTCTGTGTGTCAAAATGAAAGACAGCCCACACACCTATCACTCATCAAACCGTGGGGTCTCATTTCATTACGTGTTGATTTCTATCAACACGTAATGTTGTATCGATGTAGGCTAGAAATGTACTACAGCAAAAGTATTCTCCGTCGGGACTTCCTGCAACAACACCACGTCGTTATCGTGATTCTGATTGGCCAGAAGACATTATCAAAGATGTTCTATTGAGAAGATGATCACTACGTGACAAAAGTTTTCCAACCGTTTCTAGTCTTCGGTATTTACTGCTGTCTGTGCAATTTACTCCGCGCGAGTTGGCGGACTTTATTTAGCTTACTTTAAAATCCTTTTTCATGGTGGGGCTAAGCCATTTCTTGGTATGGCTGTAGCCTACCCCAGTATACCCTGGCGCCGCCACTGAACATAATAATAAAACAATTAAAATGTTGTATTCAGGCCTGATTAAAACAGCGGGCCCAAATCCTGGATGGGCGGGCCCGGCCCCATGGGGCCCGCCCATGACGCCGGGTCTGATTCCACTCAGTTAAACGTTGAAGGCTGGCCCACCGTCATGGTCCGGCCAATCACAAAGCTTTGATGCGTTCAAGTGCATTATTCTGGCACAGGAAGATTATGTTACAGGACATTAACGATAAAACAGAATATTGTTGTTCTATTTTTAGACACATCTCGCGATCGACTGGTTGGGCACCCCTGGGCTAGACCATAGGTCCGTTGTGGTAGCAAAGTAGTCAGCTGAAGCCACATCTCTCTCAACTTCCCCACGGCATTTTTCACATAGCGCAGGCAGCGCAGACCTGCTGAAATAATACCGAGACGGCATCGCGTAACGCTTGTCCAACGTGTTGACAAGTTGCTTAAAGCCCTGGTTGCTAACAGTGCTAACTGGGCACATATCTTTAGCGATGTGGAATGTAATGGCAAAGTACTTGCAAATAGTGGAAATAGTTTTACCCTTCTTTTTAACGAGTTGCTGCTCTTGTTCTGACATCTTCGCTCGCGCTGAACACTCACAACACATGTCACTCCCACGTGGCCGAGTGGGCTTTTAGGGAGCGGCGAAAGCGCACCCAGCAAAATAATCGTATTTTGTCAATTATGCTGTTTTCATAATTGTCGCAAGCCATAATCGTAATCGCGATTAAAATACGATTAATTGCACAGCCCTAGTTTGAAGTGAATATACATTTTATAAAAGTCATTAACTTTAGTTTTGTCTTTAAAATATCAGAATATTTTGGAACATTTTGGTTTCTTAATCGTATATCTTGTGTGTCTCGAACCCAAAGAAATGCACTTCTTTGAAATGTAAATATTAAACTGAAAAAAGGAAATCTCAATATTTGAGTCCCAAAAAAACAGCAATTTCTGCCCTTTATGAAAAAGTACTTTGAACTTTTAATTAATTTTTGTTTTGTTTTAAATTAGGGCTGTCAAACGATTACAATTTGTAATCAGATTAATCACAGCTTAAAAATTAATTAATCATGATTAATCACCATTCGAACTATGTCTAAAATATGCCATTTATTTATGTATATTGTTGTGGGAATGGAAAGATACATGAAAGAAGGCGGATATATCCATTTAACATACGTATGTTTATTATAACATTGTTCTGTGTGTCAAAATGAAAGACAGCCCACACACCTATCATCAAACCGTGGGGTCTTAATTCATTACGTGTTGATTTCTATCAACGGGGGAGTACTTCAGGAAAGTCGACAGAGGGGGGGCGGCTAGTGGAGTACTTCGTGACCACAGAGTGTGAACGTTGTGATCAGCTGTTTTAGCGCAGTTCTCCAGTGAAGGGGGGGAGTCTCCCTCCGCAGCCGGTTGGCGTAGTTTTGGCACAATTCCGTTGTACAGACCGACGTTAACAGCAGCCCTGTCTGTGCACACGGAGACCGACTCTGTCGTCCGGTGATCTAACCGCCTTCTGGAAAAGCTTCACAAGTACGTCGGTACGCAAATGCGCTTTGTGACACAAGTGACGGTACGCATTTCAGATTACGCACATAACCTGCGTACCAGTTATGTGTTACCTGTACTACAGCAAAAGTATTCTCCGTCGGGACTTCCTGCAACAACACCACGCCGTTATCTTGATTCTGATTGGCCAGAAGACATTATCAAAGATGTTCTATTGAGAAGACGATCACTACGTGACAAAAGTTTTCAAAACCGTTTCTGGTCTTCGTTATTTCCAGACAAGTGGCTACTGAAACCAATCTTACTAACTGCTGTCTGTGCAATTCTCTGCGCGAGTTGGCAGACTTTATTTGGGACTAAGCCGTTTCTTGGTATGGGTGTAGCCTACCCCAGCCATACCCTGGCGCTGCCACTGGTGGGATGTATGGGGCGGGACATTCTGCACATGCGTTAAATATTTTAACGCAATTAATTCAAAAAATTAATTACCGCCGTTAACGCGATAATTTTGACAGCATTATTTTAAATATCTTGTTACTCTTTATAATTTTGCTCTTGTGTTTTTCTTCTTCTTCGTCTCCCTCCTCCTCCTCCTCCTCTTCCTCTCAGTGGTTTGTGTGATAACATCATCCAGGACGTCATCTACAGCTTCCTCGTTCTTCCCAACCGGATCACCATTCCTCTGGTGGGAGAGGCCCAACTGGCCCAGCTCCGCTTCCCCATTCCCCAGGTAACACACACACACACACACACACACACACACACACACACACACACACACACACACACACACACACACACACACACACACACACACACACACACACACACACACACACTCACACAGTCATATGCTCATAATATCAATACATTTAGGCACATTTAAGTTTGACTCACACACACACACACACACACACACTCTCACACATTTTACAGTGTCATAGTTTTCAGACAATAAGTAAATTAATGAATCTGTTAATTGGTTGTTTTATATGATTTTCTGTTATCTGTATTCTGTGTATTTACAATTAAATGTTCGCATATGGGTCGAAAAATCAAAATAAACTAAACCAAATGTATCAAGCCTCTTATTTTTGAGTGAATTGCTCATCCTGTCTCAAGAAGCAAGCCGAAAAACTGCTAAATTACAAAAAATGTGTACTTATTCCTTCACTTTACTACTACCATTGTGTCATTTGCACTATTTTCTTGCACTGTTCTTTTAATATGAAGTATTCTTGTTGATTTGGAGGCGCCACCAACTTCAGATTTGGATTGCCAACAACTTCTCTGTAACCATTGTGTAATTGCCAATAAAGCTTTTGATTCTCTAATCCTCAGGGCGTGCTGAGGATCCACTTCATCGAGGCGCAGGAACTGCTGGGTAAAGACAAGTTTTTGGGCGGGCTGATCAAAGGGAAGTCCGACCCGTACGGTGTCATCAAGGTGGGAACGCAGCTCTTCCAAAGCAAAGTCATCCACGAGACCGTCAACCCCAAGTGGAACGAAGTGTATGAGGTAAAGTCTGACAGAGGATCCCTATAGAAAGCTTCAATATGAGTTCAAATGGGAAAAATTACATTTTATTTCATTGTTAACCCTCTGAGACCCACGGGGCCGTATACGATCCCAAATATTACGTTGTGTTCAAAGCGTCATAACCTCTGAGCTGTTTGAGCCAGAGACATGCCGTGTTTTTCCTCTTAAACTAGAAACGGCAATAAACAAAGGCGTTTACTTATTTTTGGTGAAACGAATGTGCATAAAGTTTTAAAGGATGCGGATAGTCTCACCTTGATTCTGGCGCAGTGTTTTATAGATCTATTCTCATCCACCATCTTTGTTTGTGACGTAAAGAGTGTAAGAGTCACGTTTGTGAATCGGTCCCTCTGAGTGGATGCAGTCACAGCCAATCGGAGTCTGACTCAGTTCCGTTGTTATGTGTACTGAAACGAGAGCCGGTCAAATTCCACGCGCAAAAAGTAAATAAAAGTTGGAATACGTTATTTTAGTGTCTTAAAAGTAGACCGAGGAAGTTTACTACAGCTGAGGCTTTGGAGCGGACTTTTCACATTATATTGTATATAAGTCTCTAATGAGTGACATGTATCCTCAGCTGAGGTTGTGCTGATTTCTGGGATGTGTACAACTTGATTATTCTCTGAAGAAATGACAATTTATAAGACAAAACACAAACATATACAAACACGGAAATGTCCTATGTGGGTCTCAGAGGGTTAGGCAAGATGAGTCTATTAGACAAGGCAATTAAAACATTAAAAGCCATAGTGCAAAATAAACACATTGTAAAAGTATATGTAAATACATTTAAAGTATCATTAGGTTTATGATGTTTAATAAAGAAAGTAAAACAAACAATAACCGAGGAAGATATGGTGAACAAAAAGTGTTGGCTTCTTATATAACATTATCAACAGTATTTAACAATTATAAATATGTGTATTAGTATTTATAAAGACATTATTAATGCTCCAGATCCTTCCTATGGATCTACAGTAACAATGCAGGTTACACAGCCTAAGTATTGTCCGTTTTAAATGTAGTTTTATTCATGTTTATTTGTATTTTCAGGCCTTGATGTACGAACACGCTGGACCAAACATGCTGGAGATCGAGCTGTTTGATGAAGACACGGATAAAGACGACTTCCTCGGGAGGTAAATGTTCAAACGTATTAAAAACTCCTTGGAAAGTGAAACCCCTCTCCTTCCCCCCGCTCTGTTTCTCTCTCTTTACAACCTCTGATCTTTGTTAAACTCAAAGCCCAAGCCTTATATATTCTGTCTCTTAAAACGTTATGATATTTAAATATTTTTGCATGAGTTAAGGAACTGTTTTTAGGGATGCTTTAGGCCAGAAAGGGTCATGGATTTGGTGTTTTTTACTGTATCTCTCCATAGATTTCCATCCACATCCACCAAAAATGGTCAACCTATTCTTGTCTTTGCTCCTAAAATATAAAGACTTCAGGTTTCATATTATAAGATATTAATATGCTTTGGTTAACGATTGATGTTTGGACAATATGAGACATTAAAAGCTGTTATTTTGGGCTCTGAGAACTTTGAATAATATAAGATTATTCAAAGTTGTGGCCCCACTTATGACACAAAGTCTTTAGCAGTAAATCAACATTACAGATTCACTTTGGTGATAAAAGACAGATTTAAAAGTGCTGACACGACTCTAATGTGTACTGCAAATAATAATGATAATAGTTTCTAGAGTATCATTGTGTGTTTCTCTTGTGTTACACTAATCATAGTCGTCACATTAATAGGATTTCACACTCCATTAACCTGAAGCTGCCTCACAGCGACTCTCACTGGGGTTTAATGAGCGCAGCGGTGTGTCAGACTTTAATTCATACCCGAAGCCATTAACCGTGTGTGTGTGTGTGTGTGTGTGTGTGTGTGTGTGTGTGTGTGGTGTGTGTGTGTGTGTGTGTGTGGTGTGTGTGTGTGTGGTGTGTGTGTGTGTGTGTGTGTGTGGTGTGTGTGTGTGTGTGTGTGTGTGTGTGTGTGTGTGTGTGTGTGTGTGTGTGTGTGTGTGTGTGTGTGTGTGTGTGTGTGTGTGTGTGTTGTGTGTGTGTGTGTGTGTGTGTGTGTGTGTGTGTGTGTGTGTGTATGTGTGTGTGTGTGTGTGTGTGTGTGTGTGTGATGAGTCGGCACTCATATAAAGTTCGGTGTGTTTTGTTTTTCAGTCTGATGATCGACGTGGCCGAGCTGCAGAAGGAGCAGAATGTGGACGAGGTAATCTGCAGATTTTACTCTCAAATTTAAATAGGAGACTTTTAGTGAAATATTTGCTCCTCTGCGCTCATTAGTCATTTATTTAGAGGTGTCCTGTCACTCAAACCCTGTGTGCAAAACCCATTAGTATTGGAGTTTCTGTTGATAAAGGTTGAATTTGTGCAAGTTTATTAAGTTGTTCCCTCCTGTTAGCCATGATGTAGCATTATAGTGATGAAACTCCCAATTAATTGAGGCTCTAGAGCAGGGGTGTCAAACTCAAGGCCTGGGGGCCAAATCTGGCCCGCCACTTCATTTTATGTGGCCCACAAGAGCTTGCAAAGAATATAATACGTTTATGATAAGGTTACGTTCCGCTTTACAGGAGCACGTTGCCCATAAACTACATGTCCCACAATGCATCTCATTTTGTGAGATGCACACTGAAGAGACTTGCAATTATTTTCCCTAGACTTCTGCTTTCTATGGGCTCAGAACAGTCTCATAATACACACATGCACACAGAAGGAGTCACACTTGTGTTTCTCAATGCACACAAATGTGTTCCGTTTCATATTCATGTAAATAAAATCCAAATACAGAAAAAAGTTTTACAGATGTATTTTTGATCCTCACATATTTGTTTTCCGTTTAAATCCTCTGCACCTTCAAACACACACCGCTTCCTTTGCACGGATCGCTGTGCATTCGTGTGTGGGTTTTTTGAGACTCCCCTGACGCTCAGCCGATTCGTACTTGTAATTTGTTCTATCTATAGCCAATCAGATGTCTCCTTCATTCTAAGCCAATCACATGAGCGCGCCCCCACGAGGGTATGATTTCTTGCGTTCATGACACTTCATATACGCATTTTGCGTATTCAGCTCGCTAAACAGAGGGCGGAGCTTCAGGTGATCATGCAGAGCTGCGTGTCTCCGTCAGACTCAGCAGCTGATCTGATCTCTCTCTCGTCCGGTTATACTTCACTCGCGTTTATGTCCATATCGATCAGATCCAGCTCTCCTGATCGGCCTTTATAGAGAGCACCGATCAAACTATTAAGAGTGAATATCGGCCGATAATGACCGGCGGGGCTCCTCCCCGTTAACAGGTCACTGTCTAGCACTGGCTTCGTAGTGCACTGATCGATTAGGCTAAGCTAACCTGTAGCTGCTCCCTCCACACTCACAACAACTTCATGCAGACATAAATAAAGCAGCTGTATTCGCCATACAGGAAACACACGTTTTTGTGTAGCATTCATCAATGGTTCGGAAAGTGGCGCTGCACCTTAATAATATAACTTTATGCTTGTATTTGCGTGCATTTCCTGTTCGGAAAGTGGCGCTGTACTGAGAGTGGAGGGTGTCCTGACATTAGCGCCTGCAGGCAGGCTCCATGGAGCTGTCAGCTCCCGACTGCGCAAAATGCGTACATGAAGCGCTACGTCATGAACGCAATACATCTACCCTCGTGGGGGCGCACTCATGTGATTGGCTTAGAATGAAGGAGACATCTGATTGGCTATAGATAGAAACAATTACAAGTACGAATCGGCTGATCGTCAGGGGAGTCTCAAAAAACCCACACACGAATGCACAGCGATCCGTGCACAGGAAGCGGTTTGTGTTTGCAGGTTCAGAGGTTTTAAACTGAAAACAAATATGTGAGGATCAAAAATACATCTGTACAACTTTTATCTGTATTTGGATTTTATTTACATGAATATGAAACGGAACACATTTGTGTTTGCATTGAAAAACACAAGTGTGGATCCTTCTGTGTGCATGTGTGTATTATGAGACTGTTCTGAGCCCATAGCTTTCAGACGTAGTTAATTATGAAGTTATTACCCTATCTGATAATAATCCAATGCAGAGGAAATATTGTAAAATAATACATTATTTTATATATATTATACATATTTATGTATCTTATATAGTCTTAAAGTTACCACCGGCCCTTTGAGTGCAACCATAATTATAATGTGGCCCGCGATGAAATTGAGTTTGACCCCCCTGCTCCAGAGAGACTAAACCTGAAAGCGTCCGTAGTGATAATGAAACGTTTATGATGTTTAATAAAGAAAGTACAATAACCCAGGTAGGAACATATGGTGACCAAACATTGTTGGCTTCTTATATAACATCATCTGATAAAGGAGATTATCAACATTTTATTTTTTGGAGGATGATGCATTAATGTATTAACCATCATTTAAAAAAAGTGTCATTGCATCTTAATGTTTTACATAAGAAACAGTTTTTCTGCAAATCTTCTGTCATTTTAAGCACATTTTTATGCTTACTTTCTTAAACGCTGGATGTGTAAAAACATAACTGTGTTTAGACAATAACAGATGAATTATATAGCAAATTGCTTTAATCTGGTACAAAGCATCTTATCTCTTATTTATGTTGTTTTTGAACATGGTCCCTGACAACTAAACCAATAAACTCAACTAAGAGAAGAAAAGCTGTTTAAAAACCAACGTACTTACCTTCAAACAAAGTCGTGATGAAGAGTAGCAAGAACAGTTATTTCGATCTGTAAAAACATTGCAAAAACAATCGCCTTCACTTCTAAAATCCATATATTGTTATTTATGAGATAGAATTGAATGCAAGAGGGTGGAAATTGTCTATAAAAAGTATTCTGATATTAACAACAAGACCTTTTTTCTGTGTCTGCAGTGGTTTGTGATAGAAGACGTGGCGACAGGGAAGATTCACCTCAAACTGGAGTGGTTATCTCTGCTGCCCTCACCGGAGAAACTGGACCAGGTACTTCATTTAATGAGGAAAACTCATTTCAATTATTAATATCAAACTTTAAAAAACTGTGGAAGCAATATATGGGACGGGTGGCGCAGTGGTCTGTGCATCCGATCATCAGATCAAGGGGAGTGCTGGGGAACTCCAGTTCGAAACCCGCTCCTGCCGCCACTGCGTCAGGCCGTTGTGTCCTTGGGCAAGACACTTCACCCGGATTTGCTCCTGTGGGTATTGTCCACAGTACATGTATCATATCAATGTGTACTTGTAAAAGCGCCTCGATGACCTCGAGGCGTGAAGATGGGCGGTGTGGCGCAGTGCGCTGTGCAATGATCATCAGATCAAGGGGTGAAACCCGCCGCTGCTGCGTCTGTAAAGCCGTTGTGTCCTTGGGCAAGACACTTCACCTGAACTTGCTCCTGTGGGTATTGTCCACAGTGACCATTGCATGTATAAAAAAAAAATATGTGTAATGTGTATTTGTAAAGCGCTTTGAGCATCTGGAAAAGCGCTTTAATAAATGTAAGGAATTATTATTAATTATTATGTTACATCAACCAAAAACTCTTTATTTTATTTTATACTTATTACGTTAGTTTGTTTGCTTTTTGGGGTCGCTATAAAAAAGATTGAACTGTAAACTTAGCAAAATGCTATACAAATACTATGTGACCCCAAATAAAGAATGGATGATGACTGAACACCAGCAGGGATTCAGAGACATGAGGTCTGTTAGAAAACTCTCCCTGGTCCCCGGCTTGAGCTTCAGTCTCAGGATCCATGTGTCTGTGATCCTCTCCAGAATGGAAGCAGTCATCACATACAGAGCATCAACTAGTTCCTGAACAGTGTCCTTCACATGCTGATATCCAAGAGAGGGAGTTACACAGTCACAAGATGGAGGAATAGAAAGCAGTATTCAATGTTTACTTCAGATTAGCTCCACGTCAGAAATGAGCATGCTTGATGTCTCTCTCCATAGAGGCTGAATCATCATGTTAATCACATAGCTATCATATGCCTCAAACAGTCCTGATGCTCTTCTAGGTAATCACACATCCTGTCATGAACACAGCTACAGTTGGGATACCTTTGTTATCATGTGACTCTGATATTGGAAGAGGACATTCAGTATTCTCCCAACAATAAAAACATGGACATGTAAGCTCTTCCCATGAGGCTTTGCAGGATACATTTACCCCAAAAACTAACCAGTGTCTCTTCCTCTTCCTCTCAGGCGCTAACGAGCATTAAAGCTGATCGCAATCAGGCGAACGACGGCCTTTCGTCGGCGTTGCTCGTCGTTTTCCTGGATTCAGCAAGAAATCTGCCGGTAAGTCAGTCTGATCCAACTTCCCAGCATGCACCTGGGCTAATGATTTACATTTTTAACCCTCAAGTCAAGAGGCGCTTTCACACAGAGTACTTTTCCCAAGAACTAGGCCGATAGGGAGGGGAGATTTGGTTTCACACCAAAAAGATCTGGAACTAGTCCCTAGTTTGCGCGAACTTTTTCACCCCCAGATCGTCCCTGCTAGAGAGGGGGTACTGTCCTGGGGAGGAAATGGTTCGTGGGTGTGTCGGCCACACTAACTATTTCTGATTGGCTGGGTAAATTGTAAACCACGCCCCGTAAAACTCCGAAAAGTTTTGTGAAGCCGCCATTTTATTTGCTCGCATTAGCATTATTAGCATTAGCATTAGCCCAGTGCAGAAACACAGAGAGACTAACTTATGGCAACACAAAAGAAAACATGGGAGCGGTGGAGATGAGGAGGTGTCGGCGTTCTGGCGATTTACTCGGAAGGCTTCAGTAGAAGCTGCTGGGAGTCCCAGCAGCTTCTACTGAAGCCTTCCCCAACTCCGGGGGACTCCGGGACTTCTGGTGGCAGTGTACGCCGTGAAGTGGTTTGCGGCCTGCCAGTAAATCCAAAGCAGAAGAAGAAGAAGTGACGTCAGCGGCTTAATCTGCGTAATCTTCCCTCAGGGACTTATTCCGGTGAGAACGCGATCTACTAGTTCCAGGGACTAAAGAGTTCGGTACCGGGAACTAAGTACTGCAAAGTACTTGGTGTGAAAGCGGCTAAGGAGAGAAAAAGGGCGTTTGTTGTTGATTGTGTTTGAAAAAGCAACTTGTTTAAGATATAGGGACTGTTGTGCCCTGTCTGTTATAAATCTCTCTCTCTTTCTGAACTGTATAACTTAACATGTTGATTTCTCTGCTTATGTTGTGTTATTTAGTTTTTACGAGACACCCGTAACACTGTTGATGTATTTTTACATACTTTTTTTTAAATATTGCTGTAGGTTGCTGTCTTTGTTGCTGTGTGGTTGAATACTTTTAATGAGGATGTTCCTGATTTCCCAACCATGAGATGCTGAAGGAGTTTTGAAACACACATTGTTGGGAACAGATGAAGAGTTTTACAAATCCAGTTTGATCTCGTTGGATCCAGTTTCTACTTCAGTCTTTCACTCATTTTCTGTTCTTCACTCCATTTCCTCTCAAATATACCATAGAATAAGCCTACCAATTAATAGTGATTGATGTTGTCATAGTGCTTTATTATGATATTTTTACAACTCAAACTGAATTAAATATTATTATTAGTGTGTGTTCTTGAACTTTCTTTTTAAATTCGCATTATTTATTTTTTTAAATATGCTAAAATCAATATTTGCTTCAATGCTAAATATTCTTCTGTTTGATCAAATAACATAATACATTGAATATTTTACTCATGTATGAACTAGTACTGGTGCAGCAGTTATCAGTCAAGTAAGTCTACATTTGTTTCCTAATAAAAATAATACAAATTGTGGAAGACAGTGAAAAATATACTCTATGTTAAAAATGTTGTCTTTTGATTAAATATTATTATAACGTAAAAACCGCATTAGAGCTAAACCTCTTGAAATGGATTTGCCTAAAATAAAACATTATTATTATTTCATCTGGCAGTAGCTGTTCACAATTCTATCACGCTGTATTTCCTGGTTGAAATACCTTTATTTGTTAGCTTTAACCTCCGTAGTGCAGGCTTACCTTCCTCTTTTCAGCCCCTTCTTCTTCCTCCTCCTCTTCCTCTTCCTCCTCTCTGAAGAGCGTCTTCGAGGGGAACTTGGGTTCTGGATACTTAAAAGAGAGGCGGGCGGCGGGCCTCGTGTTTTGCGAGAACACGGCTTCTCTCTATAGGACGTTATTTGTGAGTGGGTTTGATCACTGATAGATAACATCTGCTCGACGTCATGCTACCCTTTTTGTTACGTTTGTTAAAATAGAAAACGTTTGGAGTGTTTGCCTGATGAGCATGAATCCCGACTCGTGCATGAGAATTCATTAAATAATTGTAATCATTATTTGTTTTAGGAATAACCCGTGTTTGAAAACCATAGCAGTGGTGGGCGAAAGCCACATGCTAATCATGCTAAATATAGCGCTAGCTAAGCAGCAGTTGGTCGGTAATGAACCGTTTTCTAGCTTAAAGGGGTCATACTATGCTCATGTATATCACTATGTAGTGTCTCTACTTTAAAGAGTCCTCTCCTGCTGATGTTCAGGTGTATATCAGTATGTAATGTCTCTACTTTAAAGAGTCCTCTCCTGCTGATGTTCAGGTGTATATCACTATGTAGTGTAGTCCTTTCCTGCTGATGTTCAGGTGTATATCAGTATGTAGTGTCTGTACTTTAAAGAGTCCTCTCCTGCTGATGTTCAGGTGTATATCACTATGTAGTGTCTCTACTTTAAAGAGTCCTCACCTGCTGATGTTCAGGTGTATATCACTATGTAGTGTCTCTACTTTAAAGAGTCCTCTCCTGCTGATGTTCAGGTGTATATCAGTATATAGTGTCTCTACTTTAAAGAGTCCTCTCCTGCTGATGTTCAGGTGTATATCAGTATGTAATGTCTCTACTTTAAAGAGTCCTCTCCTGCTGATGTTCAGGTGTATATCAGTATGTAGTGTCTCTACTTTAAAGAGTCCTCTCCTCCTGATGTTCAGGTGTATATCATTATGTAGTGTCTACTTTAAAGAGTCCTCTCCTGCTGATGTTCAGGTGTATATCAGTATGTAGTGTCTCTTCTTTAAAGAGTCCTCTCCTCCTGATGTTCAAGTGTATATCAGTATGTAGTGTCTCTACTTTAAAGAGTCCTCTCCTGCTGATGTTCAGGTGTATATCAGTATGTAGTGTCTCTAATTTAAAGAGTCCTCTCCTGCTGATGTTCAGGTGTATATCAGTATGTAGTGTCTCTACTTTAAAGAGTCCTCTCCTGCTGATGTTCAGGTGTATATCAGTATGTAGTGTCTCTACTTTAAAGAGTCCTCTCCTGCTGATGTTCAGGTGTATATCAGTATGTAGTGTCTCTACTTTAAAGAGTCCTCTCCTGCTGATGTTCAGGTGTATATCACTATGTAGTGTCTCTGCTTTAAAGAGTCCTCTCCTGCTGATGTTCAGGTGTATATCACTATGTAGTGTCTCTACTTTAAAGAGTCCTCTCCTGCTGATGTTCAGGTGTATATCACTATGTAGTGTCTCTACTTTAAAGAGTCCTCTCCTGCTGATGTTCAGGTGTATATCAGTATATAGTGTCTCTACTTTAAAGAGTCCTCTCCTGCTGATGTTCAGGTGTATATCAGTATGTAATGTCTCTACTTTAAAGAGTCCTCTCCTGCTGATGTTCAGGTGTATATCAGTATGTAGTGTCTCTACTTTAAAGAGTCCTCTCCTCCTGATGTTCAGGTGTATATCATTATGTAGTGTCTACTTTAAAGAGTCCTCTCCTGCTGATGTTCAGGTGTATATCAGTATGTAGTGTCTCTACTTTAAAGAGTCCTCTCCTGCTGATGTTCAGGTGTATATCAGTATGTAGTGTCTCTTCTTTAAAGAGTCCTCTCCTCCTGATGTTCAAGTGTATATCAGTATGTAGTGTCTCTACTTTAAAGAGTCCTCTCCTGCTGATGTTCAGGTGTATATCAGTATGTAATGTCTCTACTTTAAAGAGTCCTCTCCTGCTGATGTTCAGGTGTATATCAGTATGTAGTGTCTCTAATTTAAAGAGTCCTCTCCTGCTGATGTTCAGGTGTATATCAGTATGTAGTGTCTCTACTTTAAAGAGTACTCTCCTGCTGATGTCCAGGTGTATATCAGTATGTAATGTCTCTACTTTAAAGAGTCCTCTCCTGCTGATGTTCAGGTGTATATCAGTATGTAGTGTCTCTTCTTTAAAGAGTCCTCTCCTCCTGATGTTCAGGTGTATATCAGTATGTAGTGTCTCTACTTTAAAGAGTCCTCTCCTGCTGATGTTCAGGTGTATATCAGTATGTAGTGTCTCTACTTTAAAGAGTCCTCTCCTGCTGATGTTCAGGTGTATATCAGTATGTAGTGTCTCTACTTTAAAGAGTCCTCTCCTGCTGATGTTCAGGTTCATATTTGTATGTAGTGTCTCTACTTTAAAGAGTCCTCTCCTGCTGATGTTCAGGTGTATATCAGTATGTAGTGTTTCTACTTTAAAGAGTCCTCTCCTGCTGATGTCCATGTGTATATCAGTATGTAGTGTCTCTACTTTAAAGAGTCCTCTCCTGCTGATGTTCAGGTGTATATCAGTATGTAGTGTCTCTACTTTAAAGAGTCCTCTCCTGCTGATGTTCAGGTGTATATCAGTATATATTGTCTCTACTTTAAAGAGTCCTCTCCTGCTGATGTTCAGGTGTATATCAGTATGTAATGTCTCTACTTTAAAGAGTCCTCTCCTGCTGATGTTCAGGTGTATATCAGTATGTAGTGTCTCTACTTTAAAGAGTCCTCTCCTGCTGATGTTCAGGTTCATATTTGTATGTAGTGTCTCTACTTTAAAGAGTCCTCTCCTGCTGATGTTCAGGTGTATATCAGTATGTAGTGTTTCTACTTTAAAGAGTCCTCTCCTGCTGATGTCCATGTGTATATCAGTATGTAGTGTCTCTACTTTAAAGAGTCCTCTCCTGCTGATGTTCAGGTGTATATCAGTATGTAGTGTCTCTACTTTAAAGAGTCCTCTCCTGCTGATGTTCAGGTGTATATCAGTATGTAGTGTCTCTACTTTAAAGAGTCCTCTCCTGCTGATGTTCAGGTGTATATCAGTATGTAGTGTCTCTACTTTAAAGAGTCCTCTCCTGCTGATGTTCAGGTGTATATCAGTATGTAGTGTCTCTACTTAAAGAGTCCTCTCCTCCTGATGTTCAGGTGTATATCAGTATGTAGTGTCTCTACTTTAAAGAGTCCTCTCCTGCTGATGTTCAGGTGTATATCAGTATGTAGTGTCTCTACTTTAAAGAGTCCTCTCCTGCTGATGTTCAGGTGTATATCAGTATGTAGTGTCTCTACTTTAAAGAGTCCTCTCCTGCTGATGTTCAGGTGTATATCAGTATGTAGTGTCTCTACTTTAAAGAGTCCTCTCCTGCTGATGTTCAGGTGTATATCAGTATGTAGTGTCTCTACTTTAAAGAGTCCTCTCCTGCTGATGTTCAGGTTCATATTTGTATGTAGTGTCTCTACATGTCTCCATGCTTTAATGTTCAAAAAGCTCTTTATTGTTCTCATGTGCTGCAGCACCTCTTTTCACCCTCTGTCTGAAACCAGAGCCCAGTCTGCTCTGATTGGTTAGCTGGCTGGCTCTGTTGTGATTGGTCAACTGCTTAGAGATGTCACATACAAAGAAAAACTAGTTTTTGAGACTCTGAGAGGGAGGCTGAATCCTCTCTGGATTGCTTTCCCTCCATCCTCCCTGAAGACACCCATTCTCTCTAGTAGCACATTGTAACCCCTCCATGAAGAACTGTGGCTATTTTGTTTCATTCATTTTAAAGTAATGCACAGACATGTTGACAAAAAATGACCTCGACACTGAAACACATGTAGTTCTCACTGTTTGCCACTAGGTGTCTCCAATGAGCACTGCTTTGATGATATGTCCCTTTAATCAAACAGTTTAATTGTCAACAAGTCTGTGTTTTACTTTAAAATCTAACCCTAACTTCACATGTATCCATGTTACATCAAAGCTAACCTTGGGGATGATGAGGGAAATCCAATATTTCAAAAAATGACAACAACATCCTCTTAAATACATTTGATTTGAATGTTTAATTTTTCATTTTTAACCCAGAGGACACACTAGTTATGCATTTGTTCTGAGTTACATTGATTTCAAACTGTGTGTTCCTGTGATGAGGTGATAACGTTGAAATGAATGGATTTCCCGCCTACATACACATATAAATGTCACCCAGTGTCTCTTTCCTCTGATCCTCATTCATCAATCTCTTTCCATGTTAATCAATGACTCCCATCTAATGCTGTCTTAACTAGAGTCCAACTAATATGCTTTAAATTAGGTTTATGGCAGATATTCTTGTATTAACATAATTCAAGACAAATTAAATTGTAATGTTTTATTTCTTTTGACATTTTTTTTAATTTTATTTTAAACTATAGTGGATTTTTTTTAACTATAATAATAAAAATCAACAATTAAAATAATATAAATAATAATAAAACATTTCATTTTTATTTAGTATTTGTATTATTTATTACTATTATTATTTAATATTATAAATGTAATATTTTAATTATTATAATTTTTTAGTATTATCATTATTACATTAAATATAAGTAAATATAATTATATTTTAAATGAAAAACCCCTCCTTTGCAATAAATCTTGAATTGTATCCTTAAATATATATATATTAAAACAAATATATATATATATTAATATCGGCCTGATAAATCCAGTATTGGTCGGACTCTAGTTTTTCCTCATGTCCAGGTTTTAATTGGGGAATGAAATTAACCATGTGATCATCCATGTTGTCTCTGTCTGTCCCATTGGTGTCTTCCTCCTCCTCATCATCATCCTCCTCCCTGCATGCCCCTCTTTCCCCCAATAACCACCTGGTGTGTGTGTTTCCATGTTTGTGTGTGCTCTCTCCTGGGGAAAATCAAAGCGCAATCCGTTAGAGTTCAACCAGTCGGGGCTGAGGAAGACCTCGGTCAGTAAAGCTCTGAAGGTAACCAAGCACTCCCGTATCAACGAGACACCGAGCAACACAGTTTATTATCTTTAAAGGTCCCCTATTACAGTGGTTCTCAACTGGTGGGTCGCGACCCACTTCGACCCGTTTCGAGTGGAGAAAACTTTTTTTTTTTTTTAAAGTCAAACTTTTATTTTGAAGGCCCGATTTTCTAATGCTGTGCATGCAGTAGGCAAACACATAATGAAATATGACCCCCGGTTTGATGATTGACAGGTCACAGAACAATGGGAGCTATCTACACAATTGAAAGTAATTCACACAGACTATCTCCTCTTTGCTCTTCTCTCTGTGAGGAGCAGCGAGCTGTCAGAACAAAGTGAAACACAAACAATGGCATAAAATATTATTAATATGTCGGGTAGTAATAGATTTATTTATTTTCTTCTCAGAGTGTACCAGAATGCGTAGTTGATATGTTAGTATTTCTAAAAATCTCCTGGGGGAGAATCTCCCAGACCCCCCTTCTGGGGTTGGGTTTTCAGCATGTGAGCCTTTTTGTGTTATAAAGTTCAGCTTTGATTCCATCATCTCATTAAACCTTATTTAAAAGCATTCTTTAGTTCTGTGAGGGGATATAAGGGATGTATGTACTGTACTTCACTTTAATTAATATTGTATGCTGCAAAGCGTATATATATATATATATATATATTACTGCACGATTTTTTGTTGAATAGATTTGAGTGGTTCAAAATGTTGGGTCGCGATCTATTGACAAAGGAAAAAGTGGGTCCCGAGGCCGGACCAGTTGAGAACCACTGCCCTATTATACGTTTTTTCATCAATATATTCTAGGTCTCAGATATATACAGAGCCTGTCTCTGATTGGCTGAAACACCAAACAGGTCATTGCAGCATTACCCATAATCCCCTCTGTTTCAGCCCTGTTTCAAAAGTGCTGATTCTCTGTCTGTTACTTTAGATGAAAATACTTTATTGATCCTAATTTTGGGTTCCAGCAGCATAATTCTATCTAAACCTACCTAAACTCTTAACCCTTCGGTCCCTTTTGACCCGAAACGCAAGAGAAGGGTTAATGGAGTAAAATGTAAGGATTTTGGGACAGATTAGTGCTCTCAAATATCAGGGAATGATGTTTTTAAGCTCATTACATCATAATATAATATGATGTTCCTAACAGGAAGTAAACCTACTTACTGACTGTTGTTGTGAAGTCATTAACGAACTCCACTAATGTGTGTTTACTTAAACTGTGTCTAACAATGTGTGTCGTAAATAACAACATTGTTTCCCAAAGTTACATTTACACTCATCCTTTTGATATTGTACTTTCCTTCCTAACTCCTCTCCTTAAAAAGTTTCACATTTGACTGAAATGTGAAGAGTAGCTCCGGGTAGTTTGGTATCTTGGTAAACATATAAGATACCATAAGTCCAAAATGACACTGTATGAGCTCAAAATCCACATTTTGAAAGCTTTAAACATACAGTTAGCGCCATCTCATGTTGACAAAATGTATTTTACACTTTAATCAATAAAAACATACATCCTCAACTTAATTTTAGATTTAATTCCAGATGTTTACTTGTATTTCTTTATGTTAAGAATATGCTATGTATGAGAAAAATCTTTACCAAAGCTTGTAGAATTAAAGACTTCATATTTGTGTATTTATGAATGTTAGCATAGCTTGCTAACGCTGTTTCTTGCTTGTAAAACGTGTTTCTTCCTCTCCTGCAGTCCGGTAAAAAGGTGACCAGCGATCCCAATCCATTCGTCCAGTTCAGAGTGGGACACAAGTCCTACGATAGCAAGGTGAGGCCAAAACACGGTGTTATTGTAGGAACTATACTCCCTAATGGGAGGCGTGTGGCGCAGTGGGCTAGGGCGTTGGTGTTCGGATCAGGGGAGCACAGGTTCAAACCCCACTGCAGTCAGCATGTCGTTGTGTTCCTGAGACACTTCACCCCAAATTAATCCTGTGGGGATTGCCCACAGTATTGAGTATGTAAATTGCTTTGGATAAAAGCGTCTAACAAGTAACATGTAATGTAATAATCCTATGTATCCTCCACATTTCAAAACGCAACAGAGTTATGTAAGTTGTATCTAAAGTAATACTTGAATTACGTCATAGGAATACATGGATTGAGAGAACTTTACCTCTTAGTTAGCAGATATTGTAACATTGTGTGCATTTAAGTTGTTAACTTACTTTCTTGTGTCCGTGCATTACTGTAAGTACAAAGATGGAGTCAGGGTGTTGTTAGCCTAGCTTAGCATAAAGCCTGGAAACACGGTTAAAAAAGCTAGTTTAGCCTTGATATGTTTCAGGCTAGTTTCAAGTCTTTATGCTAAGCTAGGCTAACCGTGTGGTGAATTCAGCTCTGTAAGTAAAACACAAATCGTCATATCTTATCAGCGCACTTTCCCTTAGAAATACGCTGTGGTAATTTAGGAGACAATTTTCATGCAATAAGTCTGTTAATTTGTTTTAATATAATGTCACCAACGATGCTAAGATAGCTATTCTCTACTGTAGCTGCTAAACTTAAAGCCACAGCACTTTTAGCGAGCAAAGTAACAGAACAATACGTTTGCAATTAACTGAATCTTCACACATTTTAATGGACAAACTGCCATTTTCAGACTTGTTCTATCTTATTAAATACAAAAATACATATTATTTTGTATTTAATGGAGTTTGTGACCAGTTTACCCACATTTCCCTCTACCTCCTCTCTGTTGTTGTTTCCTCCTTCAGGTCCGATATAAGACAAATGAGCCGGTGTGGGAGGAGGCGTTCACCTTCCTGATCCACAACCCCCGCAGCCAGGAGCTGGAGGTCGAGGTACGGAGGCTCATCTTAATCTTTTATTAATATGTTATTTGCTACTGTCCAAAATATATAAGCAGTAAAGGCGAGACAGTCTGTGGAGAGACTCTGGATCTTAATTTTGACGATTCAGTGAAGAAAGAAGATGTCGTACTCAGTCCAAATTAAAGATTAAGTTATCTAAAACCCCCACTTTGTACTTTGACGTTTGACTTAATCACCAACATTTAATCAAAATTGCTAAAATGTAATGGTTTGATTCTGCAAACTGTCTCAAAAAAGTCTCTTTCTGTGGGTCTTTTTTAATATTTTCTTTGCTGATCTAGTCTGGATTAAATAAGCAGTAAAGGCGAGACACACTCAAGACAAAAACAATGACTTCCCCTCCGTGTGTTGTCAGGTGAAAGACGAGAAACACGAGTGTACGTTGGGCGTTTTCACGGTGCAGCTGACTCGCCTTCTGGAGGCCGAAGAAATGACGTTAAATGAACGTTTCCCCCTAAAGAACTCCGGCCCGAGCTGCACGCTGAAGATGAAGATGGCTCTGAGGGTAAGATAATAAAAAGTACTTTATTGATCCCAAATTGGGAAATGTTTGGCGTTGCAGCAGCATAGAAAGACAAGGCGTTGCACACTAGAGAAATTAAAAGAGTTTAAATAAACAATCCAAAATGTTAACATCTCAAATAGAAATAAAATGTGCATATGACTCTTTGCACTGGCTTTTAATACTAGTTGAATATAAAAAATGTACATTTGTATGTGTATTTATATGTTTTTATATTGTAACTATTCCCTGTACAGCACTTGGTTGTTTTAAATGTGCTATATAAGTAAATAAAGATTGAGATTGATTGAGAAATGACAATAAAACCTTTGAAATTTGAATGTTTCTGATTCTGTTTTAATTTCAGGTGCTGAGCTTGGACAAAATCCCTTCCCCTTCCTCCGACCCCTCTTCAGTGCAGGTCAACAAAAACAAGAAAACAAACCCTCAACCTGCCGCCTCTTCCTCCGACTCCCCCGTTCCTCCCTCCTCCACCTTCGACATCCCTCGCTCCGCCTCAGTGTCGGCGCAGGACGTCCTGAACCGAAGGAAAGAAGCCAACGATCCGTACCGCTCTGTAGGGAGCACTGATTTGGGGCAGGGAGGAAGAGGAGGAGGAGGAGGTTTAGCTCAGAGTGGGAGGAGCTCCTCTAATCTCGCCATATCCGGGTCGCAGCAATATCTTGCGGGAGGAAAAGAGCTGACTCCAAGCATCGCTTCTGATATCTCCAACCCTTACGCCACTCAGGAGCTCCAGCAGAGACTCGCTCTGCTGCAGAAGTAACTATCAAACTATCAAATATCCATTGATCTCAAATCAAGTCAACTTTATTGTCAATCTTTCAGTTTGTGTGTACAGACAGAGAGATCGAAATACTGTTTGTAAACAAATACAAATATATATTTAGAGAAAAATATATACCTATATGCATATATACAAACACACCTGTATACCCACTTATGTATATGATATATATTAGGGATGTAACGATACCAAAAACTCACGGTACGATAATATCGCGATTTTAAAAAAAAGTCCACGGTACGATATTTATCGCGATATTGAAAAATAAAGAAAAAAATGTAAAAAAATGGTTTACTTGAGTTTTTTTTCTTTATTAAATAATAATTCTGATTTGTACAGCATTTTAGTAGATAGTAGTATTTTAAAGTGTCAACAATATAATAATCAGACCCTGCAATAGAATAAATCAAGTTTCACTTTAGTTGTTCAAGTAACTCAACTCTAACTCACTCACTCACTCACTCACTCACTCACTCACTCACTCACTCACTCACTCACTCACTCACTCACTCACTCACTCACTCACTCACTCAGCATCGTCAAGGTTATCTTTTAGGAATATGAGCATGTCCACATTTCCAGGTAGAAGCTGGGATGTTTGGGCGTTTACAAAATCCCCTGCTGTGGAAACAACTCTCTTGCTTGGTACTGATGTTGCTGGGACAGAGAGATATGCTTTGACCATGGGTAACAGCAGTGGGTCAAACTGTGCATTGTCTCTCCACCACTTCAAAAACAACACAGTTGTTGCCAAGAAGGTGAGGCTTATTGACAGAGATATAGATATACTGTTGGTACTTGTCAATGTCTCTAGGTGTGTACATTAGCCCTGTAAATACGATGTCCTTTTGTGTTATCTTTTGTTTTATGTTCATGTTGTAACCTACTTGCTGCCATGTTGGACAGGTCTCCCGTGAAAAAGAGATCGATGATCTCAATGGGACCATCTGGTTAAATAGCGGTTTTAAAAAAAAAAATTATTACAAAAAAGAAAAAAAAGATTATTTAAAAAAAAAAAAAAGTCTCAGTCTCACAGCGATATCGCGATATTCGATATATCGTTACATCCCTAATATATATATATGTAAACACATAAATAATCAACATAGACACATACTGTATATACATCTGCACACATTAAGTCAATATATACAAAATAATAGTCACTTCAAAACCTTTTGCTCTTAATGTCTTTCATGTTCGTAAAGCACTTTGAATTGCCTTGTGTTGAAAAGTGCTGTATAAATAAACTTGCCTTGCCTTGCATACGACACTTTAAAATGCAGGTTTTTCATTGGTTAACCCTCTTCCTCTCTCTTTCTCTGCAGTGGTTCTGGTCCCGGTCACTTCCCTCTGGGTGAGATCCAGCTCACCATCAGACACTCGTCCCAGAGGAACAAACTCATCGTGGTGGTGCACGGCTGCAGGTACGAACAACAAAGCACCAGGAGTTTTACTGACTCTATATATCAGGAGAGGGTTTTTGAAGTCTTCAGTTATATTCTGTGGTTTTCTTACTTCTTTTATTGTGAAAATACAGGAATATACAAGTGAATAAAGACACTGTTTTTGATGAAGAAGATAAATAAGTGCTGAGGAAAATGTAGAATATTAAATGGCTGAACTCTTAGTATTTTCTTATATGAAAATCAACACATCTGCACAAAACAGAACAGTACCTAAACGTCTTAATACATTTTTTTGTTTTAATGACATAAAATCTATGAAAAGTGGCTTTAAACACGGATAGAATTAGGAAAAAAGGACATTTACAAAATTACACATTAAATTGACACCAACATGTTCCCAGTACAAATATCTTTTTGCACCAATTTTCAAATAAATAACAGCGTTTTAATGCACAAGAAGTGACAGTTACAATATTCAGTTGTCAGTTTTTCAGTTATAATCCCATGTTTCCCTTCCCTCAGAAACCTGATAGCGTTCACGGACCACGGCTCGGATCCGTACGTCCGCCTCTACCTGCTTCCCGACAAACGGAGGTCAGGGAGGAGGAAAACTCACACCTTCAAGAAGACCCTCAACCCCGTTTACGACCAGACGTGAGTCCCACCTTCACTGGACAACTTCTTTTTCAATTTTCCAAAATTAAAATCTCAGAAAACAACTAGATCTATGTTACGTATGGCATATGGAGTTTCCCAAATCTTACCAAACATGGTCAAACCAGAGAAATCTATCATTATTACAAAGTTAGCGTTGCATTTTGTCGACTCTAATGGCATTTTATCCCCATACTTTATGGGGTATTTTTATCCAGCTTTAAGCCACATTTTAATATGTGATAAATAACCAATGACATGATGGGATGGTGAGAGCAAATGACATACCAAACTCTGTCTTTAGTTGATGTTCAGAGGTGGGAAGTAGTGGAGTATAAATACTTCGTTACTGTACTTAAGTCAATTTTTCTGGTATACTTTACTCAAATTTTTCTGACAACTTTTTACTTTGACTTCTTACATGTTGAACCCAAATACCTGTACTTTCTACTTCTTACATGTTGAACTCAAATTAATATAAAGGGAGGTCAGGTACTCTTTAAAACAGCTGCTAGTTATGGGGACTTTTTACTGAAGTACATTTCAAAGCCTCTTTACTTTCACTTGAGTAAAGAAGTTTAGTCAGTACTTCTACTTGTACCAGTATTTTTAAACACGAGTATCTATACTTCTACTTGAGTACAGGATGTGTGTACTTCTGACATCTCTGTTGATGTTTTGATTGAGAGTGTGTGCTTTTAAACGTAGTATTTTAGCAGCTGATGATTGTTAATGTTTCCTCCTCCTCCTCAGCTATGAGTTCAGTGTGTCTCTCGTGGAGCTCCACAGACGCACTCTGGACGTCGCGGTGAAGAACGGAGGAGGACTGCTCTCCAAACACAAAGGCCTTCTGGGAAAGGTACGCTCTCTCACTACAGATTCTACACGTTTCATTAAATACAGAAATGTCCAGAAATCAATCCAATTATCTATAAAGCAGTCTTTGTTTGAGGATTATGGATTCAAATCTTGAGTTTTGACAATATTCCAGTGTGTTTATCAACCTAAAATAGTGTTTAACTCACAAGAGTATCTTCAAGGATGGTAGATTATTCTGCTCATGTCATATTTCAACTGTTTGCAGTCTTTTAAACACTTGATTTTGCATTTTTAAATACGCTCCGTTGTCTTTTCTCCTCAGGTTCTGGTGGATTTGACGTACGAGGACACGTCTAAGGGTTGGACACAATGGTGAGTGTTTGATTTCTCACTTATTGTTTATAAAATTCTGATCATACAAATATGAAGACCAACAAACAGCTCAGTTTCATGTATGATGCTAAGAAATGTTTGAAAGATGTGACTTTAAAGTACGACAGTTTTATCAAAACGGCAGAATTTATGAATAAAGATATTTCCTTAAAGATAAAATCAATAAAGAAATATAGATTTGCCAAATATTGTCACTTGGGGATATCAAACCTCAACTAGAGAATGCAATTCCTGAAGAAATATCTAGTGTGAATGCTTTATGCTGAAAAGCTGACGCTGAATTGCTATTCTGAAATGTAATGTGTAAGAAGAAGGTGAAGAATTTAGATTGAAATGATACATGAACACCGGGGGCTTGAATGTCTGATAAGAGAAGAAAAGAAAGTAAAAAAGATTAGAAAAGCAGCAGAATATTTGAACTGCAAACTATTGAACTAACTTGATGACGAATGATCTGTCGCCATGGCAACGGTATTTGATGACACCCCATAATACGCTTAGATGTGTTGATGGCTGCATCGTTACCAAACCTGTGAAGTTTTGGGCTGTTTGGAGCATTTTCACTGAAGTTATGAGAAAACCGTGTTTCATATTGAGCATTGTGTTGCCATGGCAATGCCATTTGAAGACATTTCAAAACTGTCCTGTAGATGTCTTCACGGCTGGACTGTTAGCACACATATGAAGTTTGAGCACTTTTTGACCATTTTAATAGGAGTTATAGCAATATCGTGTTTTACGGCGAGGGATGCGTTACCATGGCAACAGCTTTTGAGGAAAACTCACTAATGGCACATAGACACGTTGAGGGCTGGACCATTAACTGTCATCTGAAGTCTGGTGGTGTTTTGACCATTTTCATATAAGTTACAACAACATCGTGTTTTTTGGCGAGGGATGCGTTTCCGTGGAAACAGCCTATGGTGAGATCTCAGATTTGGCGTAGAGCTGTTGAGGCATGGACCGGTGATATACAAGCGAAGTTTGGGGGCGATCGGACCGTGTCCATTGGAGTTACAGCGACATCGTGTTTCATGGCGAGGGATGCGTTTCCATGGAAATGGCATATGATGAAACCCCATAATTGACATAGAGCTGTTGAGGGCCGGACCATTAACGATTATCTGACGTCTGGTGCTGTTTTAGTACATTTGCATAGGTATCAAGACAACATCGTGTTTTATGGCGAGGGATGCGTTTCCATGGCAACAGCCTATGGTGAGATCTCAGATTTGGCGTAGAGCTGTTGAGGCATGGACCGGTGATATACAAGCGAAGTTTGGGGGACGATCGGACCGTGTCCATTGGAGTTACAGCGACATCTTGTTTTATGGCGAGGGATGCGTTTCCATTGAAACGGCATATGATGACACCCCATAATTGACGTAGAGCTGTGTTAACCATTATCTGAAGTCTGCTGCTCTGAGCATGTCAGTTGGAGTTATGACATCATCGTGTTCCATGACACAGGTGTTTATATTTGTGCTACTGATGTGTCCAGAGATCAAAGGTTTCTATGGTGATGTGCAGTAATCAGTGAGAGGAGAGCATTTTCATTGTTCTGAATGAGAGATAAACCTCTTACATGTGAACGTTTTGTTGAAGAACCGTAACAGATATCGGTGAAATTTCAAAGCGTGAAGCATGTCAAGGAACTTGAGCATCTGAAGTGTACTTTTTGTGTACTTTCGGGTTAATAATGTGGCCTTTTTGGCAGATTAACTAAATGTGTGCGGCTGCTGTGGTGGGGAAAGATGAGACTGAATTTACAATGGGGTTTAATGGAGACATGTTGAACGTTTTTGTTACTTTATGCCCTCAAGAGGCATTTTGTTTAATTATTTTTGCTTCATTTTTATTTTATTTTTCAAGCTACGAGATGTTTTCCTACGTTTCTCATGAAGAATTATGTCTCAGGAATGTAGGGTTTGGGAATTATGGCAGGTTTAAAAGGCCTGGTTTGAAGGCAAAAATCTGAAGAAGGCCTCTTTACCAAGGTCTGAACAATGTTTAATATCTCTAAAAGTATGAATCAGATTTAAAAGTTGTTTGACATGAATAATGTCAGAAAGATGTGTAACAGTTTAAAGTTGGAATGAGGTTTCTGAGTGAAAGTATGAATGAAGAGTTAGCAGTTGAAGTTGCATGAAGATTGTTCAAGTCTGAAGAGTTTCTCCATTGACTTCCATGTTAAAAATGTGATGAATTATGAGATGTCTCTCTGGAATTATGAAAGTTATGAATGAGAAAAGTAATAGTCATTGATTCCCGACCGAGCTGAACGTTTTGATGTTTGAACGGAGTTTCTGCGATGTGGAATGTGGGAGAAGACGAGGCGCAAAATAACCCGGCGGAATAATAAAGAATTGCGTGCATCGAATAACAGATAAATGAGAGACGAACAAATATTTGAAGATATTCTAAAATGGATCATCTGTCTGATGGATCTGACGTCAGAGCCTGATAAAATAAAATCATGACGCTGTCAGATTTTCAAAATAAAAGCATGTATCTGTCAGATTTTCACATTTTTATTTTTCAAAATAAAAGCATGTATCTGTCAGATTTCCAAAATAAAAGCATGTATCTGTCGGATTTTCAAAATAAAAGCATTGATCAGTCAGATTTTCAAAATAAAAGCATGTATCTGTCAGATTTCCAAAATAAAAGCATGTATCTGTCAGATTTCCAAAATAAAAGCATGTATCTGTCAGATTTTCACATTTTTATTTTTCAAAATAAAAGCATGTATCTGTCAGATTTCCAAAATAAAAGCATGTATCTGTCGGATTTTCAAAATAAAAGCATTGATCAGTCAGATTTTCAAAATAAAAGCATGTATCTGTCAGATTTCCAAAATAAAAGCATGTATCTGTCAGATTTCCAAAATAAAAGCATGTATCTGTCAGATTTTCACATTTTTATTTTTCAAAATAAAAGCATGTATCTGTCAGATTTCCAAAATAAAAGCATGTATCTGTCGGATTTTCAAAATAAAAGCATTGATCAGTCAGATTTTCAAAATAAAAGCATGTATCTGTCAGATTTCCAAAATAAAAGCATGTATCTGTCAGATTTCCAAAATAAAAGCATGTATCTGTCAGATTTCCAAAATAAAACCATGGATCTGTCCGATTTTCAGAATAAAAGCGTGGATCTTTCAGATTTTCGGAATAAAAGCCTCTCTTTCTCCTCCTGCAGGTATGAGCTGAGTGAAGATGGTCTGACGAAACCTCAGCAACTATAGAGGGCAACAACCACCATCACCACCATCATCATCATCATCGTCACCATCACCATCATCACCACAATGATACAGTACATCTGTTATTTTTACTAAGTGTACAAAGTAAAGAAGAAGCAGCTTTGATCCATTTAATCACATCAGTCGCAAGGCAGACCTCCCCTTTAAGAAGAGCCAGGCTTTAAAGGGAGTATTCCACATGTAGAATATTCAATATATCACCAATACTACCATGTACTGCTGTGGAAAATATATTCCATATTTATAGGAGAATATTTATATCAGCTGTAGAGGAAGACAATCTATTTTTTTGCGGTAAAATATGTAAAAGTTTGTAAATATATAAACGATGACGCTGGACTAAAGAGGGCGTCGTGTTTTGAGAGAAATTCAGGCCAAATGATTGTTTGTCGTTTTCTTTCATTCATTCGTTTTTGTGAATGAAAAACATTCTAGACGCCACCAAAGAGACGAGAAGTCATTTTTTGTATTCTCTTCCCTCGTTTGCTTTCCTCTGGTTTTATTCCACTTTGATAACATGTGTTTAAAACATCTTAAAGATAACTATAAGTACACACAGGCAAGGCAGGCAACTGCTTGGGGCCCCGGACCAGAAGGGGGCCCCCAAAGAAGGTAGATTAAGAAGGTCCACAACATGAAACTCCCTTTCATTTAATGCAACGACATGTCGGGAAACCCCCTCAAGGCGGCCCCATGCATAGCGCGCCGTAAAATGCTGCTTCTTATTTTCAGTTTCGTTGCCTTGCTCCGCTCTGGGGGGGGGGGGGGGGGGGGGGGAAGAGTGTGTTGGGGCGCCACTGATGGCTGGTTCGAGGGGCCCCCTCTGCATTTTTGCCTAGGGCCCCCACAGACTCTAGAATAGCCACTGAGTACACAAAAGGTGTGTTAAATCATAGTTTTTGTATCCAGTAATACACCTGTTGTTATTCTAGAATAAGGCCATTGTTATTGTTTTTAAAGCTGAATATTTTGTGTTTTTTTATTTATCTGGGATCATCAGTCGGTTTTAGCGAGTAGTTCTTATCTCAAATTAAGAGTATTTATAATTTAAAAAATGCCAAATTAAAGAGTCATGTATTGGAATTATATAGATAACATATTTATGGAGTAGTGTTCCCTTCCTTTATGAGAAAATACCTCTTTTGTCTGTTGAATATGAAAGTTAGAAGTTGAAAAAAGACAGATTTATCTGTATTTCCCCAAATATTAGTATTGCAATTAACACCCATATTTTCTTAATTTATCTAAAGACACGATGTATAAAAACTTATAGTATTGTCATGTTCCCCGATTAATGTGTAGCTATCCTAAAGAAAACATCACTTCCTGTCGGTTTTTCACAATAAAAGATATCCAGTTTTTTGTCTTTTATTTTGAAAGTACAGGAATAAACCAGTGAATGAAGACAGTGTTTGTGATGTGATTAATGTGTAGCTATCCTAATGAAAACATCACTTCCTGTCGGTTTTTCACAATAAAAGATATCCAGATTTGTGTTTATTTGAAAATCTTGAAAATACATGAATAAACCAGTGAATAAAGACAGTGTTCGTGATGTTTAAATTACAGAAGAAATCTAATGAAAGTGGCTTTAAAAACTGATACAATTGGGGAAAAATGACATTAACAAAATGTACACATTAACAGTTTACACTTTAAATTTACACCAAAAATATTCCTAGTACAAATATATGTTTGCACCACTTTTCACATTAATAAAAACACTTCTGATTGCTTTTTTTTATTTTAAAAAGCTTTTTAATACACAAAAAAGTACAAATAGTGACATTTAAAACATTCACATTGGTACCCAAACTAAGAGAAATGATCTGCAACACAAAAGAATGTCACCTTTTTGTAACATTGTCAAAAATATGCGAAAAATAAGCTTTATTTACTGAAAATAATGGCTTTAAAAATAAAAGAGTAAGATGACGACAAAATCTTCTGAGAAATATCAAATAATTACGAAAAGATCTAAAAATAACGGCTTTTTAAATTGAGGAAATTGCAATGAATTGACAGCTCCTAACATTAGAAATAAGGTCTAAAAAATTTGCTTTTTTCTTTAGTTTGTCGCCATTTCAGTCAGGGTTTATATCGTCACAAGTTCCGTTATAATCAAGTTTTCCAGATGTTGTTTATGAATCAACATGAGTCTTAACGTGTCAATAATACGTGTCGTTAATAGGTCTTGAAATAGTTGAAATTCACATTTACTTATTCTTTTATTTGGTGTACATATATTTGTTACCACGCATATCATGTTTAAAAACTGCATTGATTTCACAGCACTTGCTCAAAAGGGATTTATATCAAACTGCAACATAACTCTTGTTATTTAAAACAGTAAATAATAATATCGCTTTTTTTTGCCATGAAGAAAGTATTTTACACACATGTATGAACGCTCCGTTATGTATTTTAATGTTTTATTACGTGTATTTTGCAGCTGTCACCCATTTCTCTTCCTTGTTCCTGTTTTATTTTGAAAGGATCAAACTGTTTTCTCTTTTGGATGCGAGAGCGTCTCTGAAAGGTTTTGTTGTTCCCCGTCTTCTTAATTTATCTTGTGCCTTAAGAGATATTTACGTGTATAAAAAAATAAGAAGATGCTTCAACGGTTTTTCCTCATGTGTCACAATGTCTCCTAAATGTCTTTTAAAAACAAATAAAGAGCTTTAGCTGGCGATAGCAGCATGGAGCTGTACAGCACTGTGTTTCTCATCATTTCTGTATTCATCATTGCACTGCTATTGGCTAGCGCTCCAACACATTGTACGTGATAGGCTAAGGGGCGGGACATCTCTAAGCAGTTGACCAATCACAACTGAACATTAAAGCATGGAGACATGTCCCAGTAGAGACACTACATACTGATATACACCTGAACATCAGCAGGAGAGGACTCTTTAAAGTAGAAAAACTACATACTGATATACACCTGAACATCAGCAGGAGAGGACTCTTTAAAGTAGAGACACTATATACTGATATACACCTGAACATCAGCAGGAGAGGACTCTTTAAAGTAGAGACACTACATACTGATATATAGCTGAACATCAGCAGGAGAGGACTCTTTAAAGTAGAGACACTACATACTGATATACACCTGAACATCAGCAGGAGAAGACTCTTTAAAGTAGAGACACTACATACTGATATACACCTGAACATCAGCAGGAGAGGACTCTTTAAAGTAGAGACACTACATACTGATATACACCTGAACATCAGCAGGAGAGGACTCTTTAAAGTAGAGACACTACATACTGATATACACCTGAACACCAGCAGGAGAGGACTCTTTAAAGTAGAGACACTACATACTGATATACACCTGAACATCAGCAGGAGAGGACTCTTTAAAGTAGAGACACTACATACTGATATACACCTGAACATCAGCAGGAGAGGACTCTTTAAAGTAGAGACACTACATACTGATATACACCTGAACATCAGCAGGAGAGGACTCTTTAAATTAGAGACACTACATACTGATATACACCTGAACATCAGCAGGAGAGGACTCTTTAAAGTAGAGACACTACATACTGATATACACCTGAACATCAGCAGGAGAGGACTCTTTAAAGTAGAGACACTACATACTGATATACACCTGAACATCAGCAGGAGAGGACTCTTTAAAGTAGAGACACTACATACTGATATACACCTGAACATCAGCAGGAGAGGACTCTTTAAAGTAGAGACACTACATACTGATATACACCTGAACATCAGCAGGGGAGGACTCTTTAAAGTAGATACACTACATACTGATATACACCTGAACATCAGCAGGGGAGGACTCTTTAAAGTAGAGACACTACATACTGATATACAACTGAACATCAGCAGGGGAGGACTCTTTAAAGTAGATACACTACATACTGATATACACCTGAACATCAGCAGGGGAGGACTCTTTAAAGTAGATACACTACATACTGATATACACCTGAACATTAGCAGGAGAGGACTCTTTAAAGTAGATACACTACATACTGATATACACCTGAACATCAGCAGGAGAGGACTCTTTAAAGTAGAGACACTACATACTGATATACACCTGAACGTCATCAGAGGAGTACTTACTAAATACTAAAATGAACCTGAAAATGAGCAGAATTCGGCCCCTTTAAGTTATCATGAAAGCTGTGTCAGGATTTATCCATTGATTTTTAATTTTTTTTATCTCAAAGGTAAAACATTATTTACTAATCCAAATTATTATGTTCTATTTGTAATCCTCTTATTCAACCTGGTTCCCCTGCACCCAGTGTCATGTTTGTAATCTGGATCCAACGTTTAGTGGGTGTGAACAAAGGTTTCCAAGAACCTTGTAAATGTTTTATTCACATAGCTTATGGCCAGTGTTGGAAGAAGTACTCCGATCCTTTAATTAAATGAAAGCACAAGTACTATGGTTCTAAAATAATTCATTACAATTAAAGGACCTGAATTAAAAAAATGATTTAACCCTCCTATTGTCTTCGTCCCCCCCCCCCCCTTACTTTGGTGTTCACGGTCCAATTTGACCGGTCCTGTTTTAACTGCTATTACATTAACACAAAAACCATTAATCATCACCACATTTCATTTAACACCCTTTCAAACTGTACATATTGTATCAGACTACTGGTATACATGAAAAACTGCAGTACATATACAAAGAATAGACACTGAACAGGTATTGCGTGTGCCAGGTGTGATCCATGTGGGGGGATGGGCACATAAGGGAGGGGAAACACATTTAATTTAGAGTGTGTGTGTTTTATCTGATCCGGATGGTTACTAATTCCTTTTCTTTATGGCGGTCATTTTTGACCGGGAACTCCATGGGTGTTACAAAGTTGACTAAATCATCCAAAATTCAATGAAAGTGGTGATCTGCAATGTTATATGTTCAAATGTCTACTGTGAAGGATATCATAAAGGCTTAATGCAATCGAATGTAAAACAAAAAAGTTATGATTGATGAAAGTAGTAAATTGGTCAGATTTCATCTGAACACAACACAATCAATCAATCAATGTTTATTTATATAGCCCAATATCACAAATGTTACATTTGTCTCAGTGGACTTCACAGTTTGTACAGAATATCAGAATGACAATACGACACCCTCTGTCCTTAGACCCTCACATCGTACAAGGAAACACTTCCGGAGAAAACCCACAGTTTAAAGGGAACATGGGAGAAACCTCAGGGAGAGCAACAGAGGAGGGATCCCTCTCCCAGGACGGACAGACGTGCAATAGATGCCGTGTGTAAATTGAAAAGATAATACATTTGCAACATAGGTAGTCCAAATGTTTGGAAATGCATGTGTGTATAATAGGAGGATGAATCCACGAGGATATCCATCCAGGACCTATGATCCAGGACCACAGCCACGACTCAAGATCCAGGGCTCGCGATCCAGGACACAGGACCTCAGGATCATGACTCCGGATCCCGGCGTATATAGTGTTTAGAGTCGGAGAGGTCCTGATAATTTATTCCGGTAAATTACTCTGACCTACTAATTGACCTGACCGAAGTTATTGAGTCTATGTAAGTTTGCTGCTCGGCTCAGATCCACCAACGTCAGCAAGATCTCACCTCTATAACTCCCCGAAGAACCTAGGTTCAATTAACTGCTGTTTCAATTCAGACAACTCTTTTTTAATCTGTTTAAGGGATCCCGAAGGATTTTGATATCAGTAAATGGAGTGTGCTCCTACATAATTGTGTGTGGCAGGGTGCAGTCTTAC